ACATTGTAACGATAGATACAGACAAATCGTACAGCTACTCAGCTCAAAGGTGGGAGTTGCGCCAAGAAGAGTTATGCCGAAGCGCCGAGATTAGCGTGGGACAAAACTTTTGTGAGGCACCTCCGTACACTCCATCTTGAGTCGCAGCCATGCTTACGCCACCGTTATTGGGTTGTATTATGCATTTTTCATTTTAAATGTGATGCTGCCATCAGGCGCCCTCCAAGCCACGCGAATGCACGTATGAAACAAGAATTGGACCACACGTCTCGCCCACTCACAGACAAGCTACCCTATCTCAGTACATCTTTGTATACAGGTTATGTAAATAGCTATCGATACGTGGTACCATGTTTGCATATACGTAAGCAAATCACAATCACATTAGAGACAGATGGCTCCAGCCCGTGGAAGCAAGAAAATCCAAACACCGAGAACCCCCAAAACTCCATTACCTCTGATTTTCAAGAGCCCAAAATCATTCCATCATTACAAGATTGCTTTTGTTCACATGTGCTCTTCTTCCATGAATTTCCCTTGAACAGGCCCACGCCTTTCGCTTATCCTTCCCGGCGATCCTGATTGTACCGGCTGAGAATAGAATTGTGTAGGTGTGTTCGTAGTACTAGTACTCTGATATTGTTGTACGTGGAAGTTTCCACCTTCTTCGGCAAAATTAGTCGGAGGTGGTTGTCCGTGTGCTGCCGCTGCACCAGGGTGTGGGTAGTATACGGGCGCGTGCGGTTGTATGAAATCGGCCGAGGGCTGCCGTGGTGTAACGGGAGTAGGATACGAATAATGGCCTTCATGGCCTGGTCCAGGTGACGGAAACTCGGCGTGCGTACCCCAAGCAGTCGATGGAGACGTGTGTGAGCCGTCCATGTCTGAAAAGGTCTGGTCTCCGCGCGGGGACATCTGGCTGGCTGGCACTACAGGCGATGTGTATGGGGGTGTGTGCCCGTAGGATGGAGGGCCTTGGGCGGGATATGCAGAGGTGTAGTCATGGCTATTCGAATGTGAGTGCTGTTGAGCGTGCTCCGGATATTGGGCCAGGGCGGGAGAGTCGATCTGGTTGATGGGTACATACTTGTTAGCCTCCGAGGCGGCCAACTCCTGTGGGATCGTTGTTGCCAGCTCAGCAGGTGGAGGTGGCGGAGGAGCATTGCTAGCATCACCCTCCTTTTCTCTTTTTTCTTTCAAAGCTTTCTTGCGGCGGTGTAGGCAGAACAATATGAGGCATAGGATGGCAATGAGGCCCACAAGACCCCCGACAACGCCTCCGGCAATAGCGGCAACATTGGTCTTCTTGTCCCCATCGGATGACAGAGAGCCCGTAGGCGAAGGAATCAGACGAGTGGCTGACCTGGCTGCAAAGGAAGGCTTCAAAGTGTAGTAGGTTGCTAGATCAGGATGTCCCCATTGCTGGGGGGCAGTTTTGGTAGCACCTCCAGTTGGCCTATTGTCAAAGTTAGACACGACTGTCCTGTGAAAGCTGCTAGACATGACCTACCCTCCTCCAATCGCGGCAATGATAGGCGAAGGCACAACATATTGATGAATCTGGGGCTGGTATTTGTCCCAAAGCTTCGCATCCTCGCCATTGTACCCTAATACCATGTTATGCTGGCCTTGGCCTTCTGGCGCATCGCATTTGTCGTAGACAGGGAACCAGCCGCCGATGACCAACATTTGTACACGGTTGATGGCATTCGCGCTACAGCCTCCATGGCCAACCGGACTGGGAGCTGTGCTGTTGCCAGCAGGAAAGGCCTTGATCCAGGTGAACGAAGGAAGGGTAAGGATTTAAACATCATCGTACGCAGGATGATCCCCAAAGCCATAACCTCCGTAGAGGTAACTATTTATTGTCAGCTGATTCTGCTCGGAATAGCGTGCTTTAGCGAGGTGGATCAAAGGTACGTGTCGTGACCTTGTGGAGAGCCAATATTGATACAGCAATGGAGAAAAGGGCGCGCGTACATGTTGAAAGATGACTTATCATCCGCCCAAGTAACATCTGCGCAGAATTGTCTTCGTGTGGGAGGTATGTTGCCTGAGGCCGTCTGCGTATACCATTTGGATGAAGCCATATCATAGATGTGTATCGTCTGGCTGTCGTTAGCTGAATCCCGAGTAATTATTTGGTCAAAATTACACTCATGTTCGCCTGGTAATCATGTTAGCACGCCGATTGTACGAGTATTGCGCCCGCGACTTACTGCATCAAAGCTCCCATTGCGATAAGTGTCTTCGATGCCGCCGAAATAGACGAGTACACCGCTATCTGATACGGGCAGGTAGATTAGCTGTCCCTCGGCTCGTCCTGTATTGTCGGGTCCACTCATGTTTTTCAGTTCGCCCGAGGACATGTCGAATTGGACAAGACCGTTTGTCGCCATACGTGGGCCTTGCCAGCCCACTGTTGTTTGATTGCTGATCCAGCCACCAAAGTAAAAGCCAACTCCACGCTCTTCCACTTGTGTTCCAGCGCCGAATGACACTCGCTGTATGTTCTTGTCGCCGGTCGTGTCGGTGCTATTCCATTGGTTGAGAAGCACATCGTAGGTCCACATGCTGAAGTCGGTAGGGCTGGCGCCGGCCGGGTATTCTCCGCCAAACTGATAGAAGCACTTGTTTGTATTGTCGGCCCAAATGTAGCCGCCCGAAACGCTCGGGATGTTGCCAGGCTTGGATAGATTGGCATATTGCTGGGGCATGCCGGCCTGGACGGTCGAAGAGTTCAAGTCACTGAACAAAAGCCATGGATCTGAGAGCAACGGTTAGGCTTGGGGAGGCAGGCGCGGGATAGGCAGTCTTGGGCTTTACGTACTGGAGTGGTTCGAGGCGAATGGATCGGATGCTATCATGCCGCCATCGATGTAGAGCTTGGAGTCGACGTGCGCGGTCGCGTGGCCCCAGCGGCGACAGAAGGACTGAATGGGATCATTTTGCTGCGAGCAAGCCAAGGCAACAAGACTAAGCACAGCAAAAAGGCTCTGGTGTAGATAGGCCATGATGTGCATTCATGACGCCGCAGACCAGACACATACGAACGGCCGTAGATGCGGGGAAGCTCTAGGCGCGAAGAGGCAGCAGAGTGGGGAGTGATGGAGAGCGAGCAGCGGCGGCGAAGGAAGATGTGGGTATGTACAAGGCTGAGAGACGAGCGCTCGGAGAAGGGCACAGAATGCGTGGGTGGCCGCACCCCGTCCTTGGTTCGTGGCGCGCGTCGTTGAGGAGATGGGCCTCAATTTACCGACCTGACTACGCAGTAATTATGCTGAACGACCCTCTGGCCAGCCATCCAGCGGCTGTAAGACGCGCCCGCCAATGGAGAGGCAGCACGGGAGACAGGCGCAATCTCTAGACGCGAGCGAGGCGTCGGCGCAAGCGAAACACAAAAGCCATGGGGAGGAGCTGGGAAAGCGGACAGACGGGGGCGCTGCCAGCACGGGGCGGGCTGCTGGTACTGAGTCGCTGATGACAGGCGCCCGATGCCGACTGGATGTGACGATGATGACCGGAGCGACGAGAATACAGTTGGCGGGCCCAGCGGCAGGGGACGATAAGCAGGCTAAATTGGGGGGGGGGCTTTGTTCAGCTCGTCTCGTATTCTCCCGCTGGCACTGGCACTGGCGACGGTTGTGCTGCAGTGCCACATGATCAGCCATGCGGGGGCCATTTCAGCTGCTTGTTCAACCCTATTTGTCGCCATTGTCTGCAACAGTCTAGACTCGCACGACAGCAGCCCAGCATCCTCGCCAATAGCCGCCAGTGGTTGGTACCTTTTTTGCCCGTTCCCTGCTGCATAATGCAGCCAGCGTCTCCTGTTATTGCATCCAAGGCAGACGGCGCGTCCGCAGCGGGTGGCCGCACATTCACATTGCGACCGCGCCACCACAGTCGCGGACGGCCTCAGCTCAGTGTCGCGAGCCCTGTACTTGTGTGTCTGTGTGTATGGTGTGTATGTAGTATGTAGTATGTGTATGTATGTGTACGTGTGTGTATGTGTGTGTATGTGTGTATGTGTGTGTGTATGTTGGCCTAAAGCGAACCCGCAGCCCCAATACCGACGCGAGGTCGACGCGGACGGGCTGCAGGATTAGAACGGCTGTGCGTTGCTCTGGGTCTGCGCTGGAAAAGGCAAATCCACTCTGTGTGAAGGAAGGACCTTAGGGTTATTGGAGACCGTTAGACAATATGTGAGAGAAGGGAAAAGAGAAAATGCTGTCGAGGTCAAAATTCCTTGCCCGCACTGGCGCCTCTTGGCACGCTAGGTCCACTAGCGCCCTGCTTCTGGTCCGCTCAGCCGCCCGTCCTGCCGTCATCCACTTTCCCCCCCACCCCCCCTGCGCCCTACACCGCACGCCCGTCGCTGCGCCGCAGACACTCGACGAGGAAGACAAAAAAACAACACACACGCCGCTGTGCTCCTTGAAACAGACCGCTCCGCTCTCGCACGCGTCTGCTGTGGTTGCCGCCTCCCCACGGGCAATTTGGCCAACCATGGTTCCCCGCCACCACCCGCGCAAAACTCTATGTTAACCATAGTTCGTATTTTGTGCACATGAATTGGGCAGTATATCATAGTACATGCTGGACTCCCAAAGTCACCAGCCTTTTCTTTTGCACTGCGCCAGATACGGCCTCAAAATACACACACCGCCACAGCAGGCTCGTCACACCACAGGCCCCAAGTGCACAATAAAGTCTAATCAGCCACTCCAAGCTCTAGCTACACGCCAACCAAAACCGTCCGGGGGAGCATGGATCCCGAGGATGAGTATGATGTGGAATCTGACCTGTCCGACTCAGACAACGGTTCAGACTACGACTCAGACTACGACTCAGATGATGGCTCCATGGACGACTCCATGGACGATGCCGTGATACTATCCGTCAACCTGACGTTCCCTATCCCCGGCCCCTATGCTACGCCATGGTTCTATTCCGATAGAAGCCCATGGTCCCAGCATCTGGTACAACATGGCGAGTTCACCATCACCGACGCGGCGCTCCTGGCATTCACCGTAGACGTCGCCATGAAGATCTACATTGTCGACGACATTAACTTCCCCGTCTCCGATATCGCCAATGAGTCTAGCCTGGTATGGGTTATCCTCGAAAGAGTAGCCCAGTCCATGTATGCGCGCATCCGCAGCTACGGGTGGGCCAAACGCCGCGTCGTGGCAACCGTAGAACATTTTTACATCGACGTAACCCGGGATCTCTTCAAGATGCGCGAGCGCTATACGATTGCGTTCCTGCAGTGTATTCAAGATCCACAAGTCAAAACCTCCATTGCCACCGAGATTGTAGTGCATAACTCTTTCGCAGACTGCAACAGAGCGGTCAGATTGGTTTTCCGTTGGGTGTACGGAGAGTGGCCCGAGTCAGTCTTGCAGAAGAAGACGGCCGGGTCCAAGCAAGAGTCTTCTTCGCGCCCGACGATGACCATACGCCAGTGGGTATTCCATCAGAACTAGACAGCACCAAAACACTTGGTCTTACAAGATGAGGTGAGTCTTAAAGAGCGAGGGCTAGGAAATACCGTTCTTACCCCGCTCTACGCCCAGGACATTCGGACGCTGCAATGTCACCATGGTTCGCTATCGCACATTACGAAATCTCAAAACAACAAAAAAAAGTCCGGTTGAGGAATATGCTTCAGTGACCGCTTCTTGTTCTCTTTATGACTTCTGTTAGAGTAGACACAGTTAGGTAGTACTAATAATGAATCGTGTTGCCTCTGGCTCCCACAGAGTGCACTCTGCTATGCAACCACACTATCCACTATTATATTTTCCGTATTTGTCCTCGACTTCCTGTCTTCACAAATATAGAAATTCAACATGGATTATTCTTCCTTGAAAGTGGCATCAGAAAAAGGGCGAGTTTAAAGATGATCGACGCATCTAGGCAAGGGAATAAATCAGCAGAGCATGACTACATGGCTCTGTATTTCAATCATACAATTCGCTACAAATACCATCAACTCTAGAACCTCGACTCAACCTTTTGCTGAGTATCCTGTAGCGCCCACTCGCTCCTCGCCTTCTTGCTCACGACCGACTCAACCTGCTCCTTGGTGAATCCCTTTGCTACTGTAGCAGGGTTGTAGCCCAGACCCGTGGCCTTGGCGATCTGGTCGTCCGACTTGTCCGTCGCAGCGGATCCGTCTTGTCTCTTGTACACGGTGACGACAGCAGCACCGCCCAGGCCCAGGTTATGTTGAAGGGCAACCTTGGTGTCCTTGACAGAGCGGTTGTTGGCCCAGCCACGCAGGTGCCAGACCAGCTCGGCACATTGGGCCAGGCCCGTGGCGCCCAGGGGATGGCCCTTGGAAATCAAGCCGCCCGACGGGTTAATGACGACCTTGCCTCCGTACGTGATACCGCCTTTGCGGATCAGCTCGTGGGCTTTGCCCTTGGCTGCGAGGCCCAATGCCTCGATGGTAACCATCTCGTTGGCCGAGAAACAGTCGTGAAGCTCGCACACCTTGACATCATCGGGAGATACCTTGGCCTCGGCCATTGCGTCCTTGGCGGCTAGCTCGCTCATACTGTAACCGACTAGCTCGATAGCGCTGCGGTTGAACAGCGACGGTGTGTCGGTGGCTAGCCTCTGTCCAGCAATCAAGATGGCTTGGTCCTTGAGTTCAGGGCGCTTGTCGAGGAATTCTTGTGAGACGAGGACGGCTGCGGCGGCGCCATCAGAGGTTGGGCAGCATTGAAGCTTGGTAAGCGGCTCGTGGATCATAGGGGCGTTCATGACTTGTTCGAGCGTGTACTCGTCCTGGAACTGCGAGTAAGGATTGTTTTTGGAGTGGGCGTGGTTGATGCGACCAATCTCTGCAAAGTCCTTGAGCTCCGAGCCATACCTAAGGGTACCGTCAGCGTCTTTATATGCGACCTGGAGGAAAAGCGACCAACTTACTTCTCCATGTGTTCCCGTCCGGCGTTTCCAAACATCTGCGCGGCACCAGGCGCTTTTGTAATGCCTCGAGTCTCCTTCATCATCAGGCTTGATGTTCCTGTTGGGTTTGCCCTATCCTGGAAGAAGGTCTGAAGACTTCCGGGAAACATCTTCTCAAAGCCCACAACTAGCACGCAGTCGGCACCTCCGTTGGCAATCATGGTTCGCCCCATGTATAGACCGGTCGAGCCTGTCGAGCAGTTGTTGTTGACATTGTATATGGGAATGCCAGTCATGCCAAACTGGTAGAAGACGCGCTGGCCGCACGTCGAGTCGCCATAGCAGTAGCACGCCACGCCCTGGTCTACGTCGTCGTAGTTGATGTGCGCATCCAGCATGGCCTTTACACCAGACTCAAATCCAAGCTCGGGATAGTCGACCTTGCCGCGGGGCTTGATGAACTTGGTCATGCCCACGCCGAGGACGTAGACGGGCTGCTTTTCGCGGACCATGATGGCGGTTGGTTGCAGAAACGTGAAGGGCGTGCAATGGATACAGAAAGCGCCAAGGAGTGAACCGCGCAGCAGAAATGGACACAAGGCTTTCACTACTAATTATGGGGAACCTGGCAAGATATATGCGGGAAGACGCGTGTGATCGCAAGGCACGTCCGGAGTGTCTTATCCGCCTCCGCAGAACGACTAGCGCGTGGGGAAGCCGAGGTTATTTCCTTTCTGGGAACACAGCTTCTCGGTTGACTGCTAAGTAAAACCGGTGCTGGGTGGACCGAAATAGTCGGATGAAAACACACTAACCACGAGCATTCTTTACTCGGATTATTGTGAGCAACTCAAGGACGGATATAGCGTTAGCTGCAAGAAATTTTAAGGTTTCAAAAATAAGTTTGTGGTAGTCATGGATAAGCGTGTCAAAGACGGCTACTTTTGGTGAGCGACGGTCTTGTCGTGGCCAATATCCGGTTTTACCGATCGACCGAGAGAACAGCAAAAGGACAATAGCCGGCGCGCTGGTCGGCCCCTGGCAACTAACATCTGATAGACTATCTCGGGCCCGCGCTGACTACCCAACGCCTAGTCATCGGTGAGACACGGTCCGGAACGCGGACGCCTTGAGCGCTTTTCAGAAAACACTCGTCTGTGTCAATGCTAGCGATTCGTCCTTGGCAGCAGGCCCGCGCATAGCCCGCGGCTGCTTTGTGGGCAGTAACCGACTACACAGAAGGCAGTGGCATATCTGGCCAACGGAAAAGGATTCCTGGTGACGGTGATTCGAGTGAACTTATGTTGGACCATTGCTTTCTTACAAGCAGAGAGTAGCGCAGACATACACCGTGCCCATACGCGCTAGGCTGGATCTAGAAGAGTATCGGACGAGAGATATTCTACCAGATGCGCTTGGTAAAATACCTGTACTTGCAGTGTGTGACACGAAGCCGGATTCGCATCATACTAACCAAGTCGTTGCAGAAGAGTCGCACAAGCGCAGGTAGACAAATACTCTTTGGTGACACTCACAACAACAAACACGACAGCGATCCGCCATGTCTGAAATTCCCATGTCGATCAAACACCAATAAAGGCCCCAGCAGCTCGCACATCCAGGTTGGGCAGTCGCCTATATATCAAAGCCATAACTCCACTCGCTAAGCCATGCGTCGATACCGGAATTAGAAATAACCCTACGAGGCTGAACCGCCTCCTATGTCACACAGTGTGACGCTGCAATCATCGAATGACTTTGCCCCTGGCGTTTCCGCACATGTCGTTGGACAAGACAATTACAAAGAGGCTGTGCTGCATGAATCACACCACGTACCTATCGCCGACCTGGACCTTGACCGCTATGATACTCATGACGTTGTCCTTGTCCGATTCCGACAGCTGCCTGGCTTCTTTGCAAGTGCCGAGCTTCTGTGACAGCGCCTGATAATGTTGGCAAACTATTGGCAATCTAACGCTGAGCCAGTCTTGATTCCGCTATTTTCAGTCAATATGTCTTTATCATGTAGTTAGTATATTCATGATGATCTGGACAACCTTGTTGGCGACTACTATCGTATTCCGAGAGCATGATCGACCAGTTCCATTAGTACTTTGCACAAATTGGTGAGCAACAGTCAATTTACATTATGTTAAGAAGTATCGTCGTCACGATCAACGTGAGTGCCCAAACCCGATCTTAAATCAGCAGAGGTGCATGCTTCACGAATCTCCCACCATCTATGCTGCGCATTTCTGAGACTTTGCAGCGGCCAAGTTCTTCTCGTTCTGCTTGGTGCCATCCTCTACTTCCTGGACCAACGTCGCAAGTGTCTTCATATCCGCAGCAGTGCCCTTCAATCCCGACACCTGGTCCTTCTCTTGGACCTGTGCCTTGGCAACGGTAGCCAAACCGTCAATAGCAGGACTGTTGAGCTGCTTTGCCAACTCCTGGTTCTTGGCGCGGATGGCGATGCCCTTGGACTGGATGTCCAGGACCGCCTTTTGCTGGGCGACGAAGCCTTTCATGACTGTGTCACACATGCTCATGTTCTGCAGAGCCTGGACACTATAGCAGGGCATGTCAGCTTTTGTGGGTCAGTGTGAAAAGACGAGGGTAGACGTACCCCTTGAGCTCCTGGGCTTGGATGTCCAGGTTGGCCTGGATGCCGGCCTCAAGTTCGGTCTGAGCCTTGGTGCATGCAGCGCCAGTTACCGCAGCGGCTTTCTGGCAGACGGCAGCTGGAGCCGCCAAGGCGGCGGCAATGAGGCACATGAATGCGAAGCCCTTCATTTTGAATTATATGGGACTAAATTACTTGTAGGACAAGAGACTTGGAAATGACTGTGGCTGATGGGAAAACGAAAGTAGCACACTCCGGGTGAGCTGAGGGACGATAAGAACAGAAGGTGAAGAGACTGTTGTGAGACTTGCTGGCGAGTGTCTGGTGGAGCAGCACTGGAGTTTTATATCGTGCCTCCTCTACTCTTCCGGTCTATCTCCTGTCATCAGCGGACCAACAAACTTTCGGCGCACATTTTACCCGCCAGGAGAGCAGTACCGCGTCTGTCAAACTGCGAGCTGCCACCCTGATGTTCGAGAATGCCCGGGTGCTAGCCTACCCATAATCAGGTTAGTTGTTGATCCGAACCGCCACACTGTGGGATTTTGTGCAAACCCTGTGGGCCGCAGCTCCACTCTACCCGTACAATTCGTCAAACATGCCTTTAATGCAAGGGCAAATCGCACTGGAGACGGCAGTGAGTGTCTCAAGGGGTAGTTTGGTGTTGCAAGTCCGGGGTCAAAACAAGACGGTCTGTGCCAAGGCCACCAAAGCTTATTGAAGCTTGGTGCCTTGATTGGGCCGCACAGGGTTGGGCCAATCGCTCTCATACAACGACCCTAGTGCCTGTAAGCAGCACTCTGTGAAGCAGATGCGTTTCACGATCCCCATCGACAGAGCGCAAAACGATTGGGTAGCCGATCCCGTCGAACGGCGGAGACTGGGACGATCATGTTTGGTGATGTGGACTCGGTACCTGATCTGGCGACAATACATGTCACGAGTAAAGCGCGTCGTTGCACAAAAATAGCTACCGCTTCCATGTACTTTCTCTTCCAGCGTGTCTTGTCCCCGAGCTATTCTCTGCAAAGCGGTAGTGTCGTTATGAACACTAGCATGTAATCAGACATGAACCGAAAGGTAATCGCTTGGATAGATGTCAAAAGACCTGTCAGTGCAGCGCCGCTGTACTACAGTCAACGGCCTATCTTGATGGTCAAGTACCGTGCATTAGTGCTTACTTATCCCTTATCCATCCACATGGTCGAGGCCAAACCCTGAGACACAACGCCCGTATACCGACCCCACATGCAACAGTACTCTAATATTTTAACTTTGGCAGTTCGTTACAAACGACTACGCGATACCGTAGATGAGGTAGTAAGTCCACTCGCCCTTTGACACTTCGCCGTTACTGCGGGGTTCAGTATACTAACCACATTATAACACGGCTTCCGATTTAGTACAGTGGACGTGGTTTTGCCTGTGATGTGCTGGTCCAGGGAGTACCCTAGCCTCAGGACTCGGCGTTTTCTATTCACAATCAATGGCCTCTGGAAAGGATCGCCAGGAGTACAGCGACCTGTGTACGATTACCGTCCCATACGCGTACGTTACTGAGTTAGACTTCATAATTCAGTTACCGTACTATCTGCTGTTCAACTATCACCTTGTGCTTGTGAGCGAGCCTATGGTCATTTTGTTTTTGCTTCTACATTTACTGTGATTCTAGCTGCTCTCCAACTAGCATGAACTAGTCACTTGGTGACTCGGTCTTTTTTAGTTTTACAGAAGGGCACACGAATCACTCATTCTTAATGATTCCTGTGCTATTAAAAAATGATGTGTTTTGGTTGGATAGCAACACCCTTCTTAGCTACCAAGAAAACGGAGAGACAGAACGGCGGTTCGGCATGAGAGAAGTGTATGGGGAGAAATAACATGACAGGTTTCGTTTTACTTGCAAAGCCACAAGAGCTCCAGTCCATTATATTTACTATGGCTTCCGGAATCAACATGGGTACTTACCCTCAATACGGTCATCACAGTGTCTCACATGATGGGTACCTGGTGGCTTGGCAAGGCTTGTAGGGAGGAGTTGCAGCTCTTGGCTAACATTTAGCAATCAAAACTAAGCCTTTGGACAACTTGTTACATCCTAGACTTGGCCAGCTGTTTTACAGCCATCGAAAGAATTCGGCTCGGCGTTTCTTAGATGTAAGCATATGGGAGACAAGGATATGTCTTCTTTATGATTTCACTGTATAGAACACCTCCTGTTACGAATCTTTGCTAACATTGATCGCTAGTTCAACTATTCCTTACAGCAAAGAAAATTTAACATCGCGAACCTACTCTCTTAGACGATTACACATGGCTTGAGAAGTACTCTATGCTTCGACATTAGCCCTTCAAGTCGAAAAACGCACGAGCATTAGAATCGACAACAGCTATTTGTTTCCCTGCTTCATGGGATTGATTTTTCGATTGCTCAGTTCGAGCGCGGGTGACGAGAAACCACGGATATCAATGTAGCCTCCGAGTGGCTGGCGAAGAACCACATTACTATACATGGTATGGCTTGCTGGTAGATCAGCGATCAGTCAATACTACATCACTGAGTTTCGCGGTGATGAGATTATCGAATCCCTCTTCGCTGTGGCGACGGAAATAGTTGGAGGAACAATGCTTACGACGCTGGCTCGAGGCGGAATGTTAGACTGGTTATATTACTTTAGGTTGCTCCACTCTCTGCAAAATTGTTCCGTTATACCCTTCCGCCTGAAGTGAACAAACCTTGAGAAGCTTTTTGGAAGTGCGCTGACTCTTCGTCGATGCAAAAACAGCGCCATTTTCCATGAATAGGTTTTTTTTCTTTTTCAACACCATCCCTAGATAAACCACAGAGCATAGACATCAATTACTCTGGGAATATAAACATCATTCAATGAATGGAAGACCGAATCGGAGTGGAATATGAAGCAAGTCATTATGTTTTTTGCACATTGCACTTTTCTGCTCCAGGCAGGTGAATAGAGCTGTATTTAGAATAATCAGAAGAAATGCTCGCCCATGAGCTACTCCAAATTGCATTCATAAAATTCAATTGCTCATAACCCACTCGGAATGCACTAGCGGAGGCAATGACAGTATATTGACTACGTCTTAGGGACCTAGTGATAGCATATGGACTAAGAATTTAAGTGTACAACCTGAAAGGAATCTACAACATTTTCCTCGACTACAAATATCATCTAAGCAGCTTCGAAAAAATCGCCATGAAGCTCCTCGCCATCTTTGCCGTGTCCTGAGTCTCAGCTACTGCATATCGAATTTACTCACCCGACGGTACCTTTGTCGAGGTCCCCGACGACACCATTCTCGACAGAAGGGTCGTTTCCTGTTGCGGAGCCGGCATTGACAAATCGAATTATTGTTCCTACCCAACTATTTGCGGAGAAGGCCCTGGTTGTAGAGGTTCAGCTACTGACACTGACTATAATCTTCATAATGCCAATAATGGCTCAAGCGGATTGCTGCGATAACAGTATCGAAGAGTAAAACATACCGAACCCGACCAAAACGGACTCTTCCAGTAATCTTCACTGTATTATTCTTTGAGCTCTCCGCATTAGTGTAGCCTTTGTATATCTCTTACCAATTAAATCCTTGTATACTCGCGTATTTCCAATCTTCGGCCAGTGTTTGCGGTCACGCAACTTGGCAGTCTTATATAAGGTGTAAGCTTGATGTTCTCTTCATCTAGCTCTGAGGAATTTCGAAAGGAGAGTGGATTGTATGTACTATCTACTCCTAGCGGATGGCTGAATTTCGGTCTCGCACACACCTTGTCGCACAACCTATCCTGGAGACCTCCAAATTCGTATCCTCTACGTATGACTCATAGAGAGACTGTAGCACGCCTTGAACTCCACAAAAAAAACTCTTACTGATTGGTTCTTGGAACAATCCTTCCTCTCATCACCATCTTTCATCATTATCCTCTTACGATCAGCAATTCACTCCGACTCGACAACAAATTAGTCGACATCATTCCACCATTCGTCTTCGAGCAACTCGTTTGCTGTTGGGCGGTCTCTCCAGTCGAGTTTCATCATCTTGGATATGAAGATGTTGTCTCTCTGGCTTACTTCGCGCCGGGTGATTCGCGAAAATGGCGTTGCCTTCTCCTTGGGGATGGCTCGCATGATTAAGTTGATGCTATGTATCGTTTCTGAGTCTGCAATCTCAGCGATTTTGGCAGGGAAAGGACCGAAAATTTTGAACTGCTCTATGACAACCCCGGACACATACTCTTCGTCATCGCGTTTCATTCCTACGGGTTTGAAGATGTTAAAGTCATTACCGTATATAAGACTGATAAGCTATGAAGACGTCAGCTTTCATATATACCCATGATTGCAGTGGGACCATGACGCACCATGGCACCGAAAGACCATATGTCAGCTGTAGTGTTCCACGGCAACTCCATTAGAATCTCGGGGCTCGTCCATATCGGTGTTCCAACCATGGTGCCAGATGTAGCCCACTTCGAATCAGCAGGATAGCATCCACCCAAGTCGCCTAGTTGGACGTCGGAAAATCGATTTTCTCCTTCATGCAGATTAACGAAGACGTTGTTTGGCTTGACATCTGGATCGTCAATAAATACCAAACACTCTGTCGCTAATCAAAGGCAGCATAATACCTGTGTGCACAAACCCATCCTCATGTAGGGTCTTGATTGCCTCTAATACGCATCGCGACACGTATTTGAGTTCGCTTCTATTCAAAGTTCTCTCAATGTCTGCTTGCAAAAGGTCTTGCTACAAGTATTTCAGAGCGATTGTCACAGGGACATTTGGTTCTTCGATTTCATCAATCACAGGTCGGAGGTACGGGGTGCGATGCTGAAATCTTTTGAGTACGTCTCTTTCATTCTCTACCCGTGGGTGATCAAGAACGCTCTTGATGACTGTAAGCTTATGCAGATGATTCCTAGCAATGATTAGAATTCATGTCAAACTCAGGTGCATTCTGCTTACTTTGCAAACCATACAGTATCTTGGATTTGTTTCGTGATCGTGTATTGGCTAGCATGTCCTTTTAGAACTTGACCGATTCGAAAGAGCGAAGACATTGGGTTAAATGCAACTGTAGACCATGCACAAGAGGAGATACGAGCGAGGGTAGTAGTGGCAGTTGGAAGATGTCATAAGAGCAAGGATAGCGGTAGTAAGAGCAGTAGTGTGGCGCAAAAGAGGTGCCAAGAATAAGAATATCAGTAATAACAACGTTAGTGCAGTGCACATGAGGTAATGAGAGTGAGGGTAGCGGTGATGGAGCGGGCCAAGATGCCCTACTGTAGTGTGTTTGTGGTACTGAAGACCCCTACCCAAACATGTGCCAACCAACAAATAACTATTTGTTTCGTATAATTCTTATGCTAAATCCCACTGTTGCGCTCTGTAAGAAAAACGCTGTAGAGAATTCAAACAATCTGAGAAGTCAGAATGTCGCCCTCGAGACTTGCAAACGCAATGTTCGGGCCATGACCTTACATCGGCTAAGGTTAAATAGCGGCACACTCAGGGCACATTCTGACGACGTTTTCTTTATGCAACTTCATTACCCGGTACATACGACCATAGGAAATTGAAAACTGGCTACCCCGTCAGATCTAGCAGACATAAACAATTTTCCGGCGAGTTAGTAGGCAGGTGGGTGACCACTGGCGAATCCTCGCTGTTGTATGTTTTTTGTTTTTTGTTCCAACTGGGGCACTGGATGGTAGGCTTGGCTGGACTTCTGTTTGCTTTGAATGTATACACTTTGAACATACGACGGCATAAACATTACTGGTTGATGGCGGAATGACTTTATTTGTATTTTTGCCTCGGATATGGGAGCGAATTCGAGGTCTTCTCCTGTTCCTGCGAGCCAAGGGCGTTTGACATGTTTCTACTTTGCATGCTTCTTCTGCCTCGTATGTGTCTGCCTTGCATGCTTGTGTTTTTGTTTTGTATGTGCGAGCGCGTAGGGTCAGGGTGATCCTGACGGGATTGTTCATGGTACTCGTAAGTTTACACGGTGCAGCCATCTTATCGCGTTTTGGTTGAGGTGAGCAGCTTCCTACGCTCGCTGCAGCCTTTCAGCTGACATCTTCCTCCTCTTCTGCTTCCCGTTTCCTTTCCCGCTCCTCCTCCTGCTCCTTCAAGTGCATAGCCTCGACCAGTTCAGTGCCCTCCATGCCCACCTCATCACCGCTGTTGCTGTCTCTTGGTTGTTTCTCTCGTATCGCCTTTTGCGCCTCAACTCTTTCCCTAACCAATTTGGCAATGGCGTTGTCCGTCTGCACATTTAGTCCACGCATCTTCTGCTCCAAGTCTCGCTTCAGATCCCAGTTTGGCTTCTTGGGCTGTAGCTTGAACAGGTCCAGCCCCTTATCTTCTGCCTTCTCCGCATCTTGCTGTGCCTTTGACTCGAGCGCCAACTGCTCTGCCTTGTACTCTAGTGTGTTGGTGGGGTCGGCAATGGGCAGATTGTCAAAGCCCAGCTTAACATTCCGCGTTTTGGGGTCATAGTTTCGGCCAGAGAGATATGTTGCTGCTACTGAGGACTCTTCATCTTCGGTGCGCGTGAGGGCTTGCGAAGTCTCGCTTTGCTCCTGGGTAGAGGGCGATTCCGAAGCCTCGGGCGCGTCTGATATTTGTTCTTGCTTTCGCTTGAGCGACTTCAACTGGGCGAGGCGCGATTTGCGGTCGTTGGCTGCTGCTGCCAGCTTCTCGTGTGAAGACATGGTGAAGGCTCGTGGTTTGCGCCGGAGAGGCTGTGGGATCTGTCCGGCCGAAATAGGTCGCAAAGGCTCGAGGATTGGCTTTTGTTTGCTATTCAACGATTTCTAGTCAAGCTTGGCGCGAATCGGAGAGCGGGGCTGGCAGTCGCAGGTGTGGTTGTTGTTGTCGTGACTTTTGCGGAGTAGAGCTCGGAGGTTGGACATGTTCCCCGGTTACAGTAGCGGGTCAGCTAACGCCCCGGGTCAGCTAACGCCCCGCCCCAACACCATAACAACAAAACTTCAACGCGTCACAACTCCACCAATATGGATCCGATTCAAGAAGCGATTGAATATATCGAATCGCACGAGCCAGGAGATGATTTCTCGTACACAAAAGTTGCTGCCCAGTTTGGTGTTGAGCGCAGTACGCTCGCTCGAAGGCACTAGGGTGTGCACAACCAGCGCGGAGTCTCCCAACGATCCCTACACCCAGAACGCGAAGCCGAGCTTGTACGATATATCGAAACGCTTACCGAACGACGTTTGCCGCCTACAAAAGTAATAGTACAGCAGTTTGCCAGCCAGTTGGCTGGCAAACCGGTCTCCGAAACCTGGGTTAAGCGGTTTCTCCGCCGTCATCCCAACCATCTTATCTCTTGATCGGGCAAAGCTATGGCCAAGGAGCGGACTAGAGCTGATTCAGGACCCAAGTACAGCTTATACTTCAAGCTGTTACATAAAAAAATAGAGGAGTACAACGTCCAACCAATACATATATTCAATATGGACGAAAAGGGGTTTCAACTTGGCCAGGTTGGCAGAACAAATCGTGTATTTGATAAGAAGCTGTACGAGTCAAAAGGGGTAAGGCAACCCCTTGAAGATGGCTCCAGCGAGTGGATAACGGTTGTGGCTTGTATTTGTTCGGATGGGAGCGCTTTGAGTCCAACTCTCATCTTCTAGGGAGCCAACGGAGCTGTTCAATCGAGCTAGGTTGAAGCTATACAAGCTAGAGAACACTCAGTATTTACTACGTCATCACCCTCTGGCTGGACTAACAATGATATTGGGTTATCGTGGCTCAAACAGGTGTTTGAAAGAGAAACTAGACGGCATGCTTTAACTGGGTATCGATTACTACTCCTTGACGGCCACGGATCCCACGTAACCATGGATTTTATTGAGTATTGTAACGACAACAAGATCCTCTTATTTGTATTACCCCCTCACGCTACTTATACGCTTCAACCCCTCGACGTTTGTATATTCAAACCCCTCTCGAACGCTTACTTAACTTAGTTGATGGGATACCTCTAGGACAGCTAGGGGTTACTCAATTTGACCAAAGGAGACTTCTTCCCGCTCTTCTAGAGGGCTTGAGGTAACGTATTCAAACCTCCACTCATCAAGAAGTCGTTTGAAGCCACTAGTATATACCCAGCCAACCCAGACGTTGTACTCGAGAAGTTTGCCAAGCAAGCTTCAGACTCTGACAGCAGCAACTCAGTACTATCGGGGAGCGATTGGCTCAAGCTCAAATCAATCGTACGCCGTGAGGTGAAGGATTAGGGTAGTAAGGACGTCAAGAAGCTTCAACGAAGCTTGTGCCACATCTCAGCTCAAAACAGTATACTCCAAGAGGAGGTCAGGGGCCTCAGGCAGTCCCTATCCATCAAGGAGAGGCGACCAAAGCATTCATTCACCCTCTAGCTTGATGAGGACGAGGTTTACCATAGGGGAGCCAAGATATGGTCGCCCAGGAGTGTACAACGAGCTCGCGATCGTCGGGCATCACAACAACAACAAGCTGAGCTTCAAAAGCTTTAAAAAGCCAAGCAAGCCGAGGCAAGCAAAGCAGCTCGTGAGTGTGAGCTTCAACTTAAAGCTGCGAGGCGTGTTGAGCGGGAGAAGGGTTGGGAGGAGACCAGAAAGCGGAAGGCCGAAGAGAAAGCCGAAAGAGAGCATCGTAGAAGCCTCCGCAACGCTGCCAAAGCTATACAATTGCCCCAATCGGGTAAGCGCAAAGCTTCAAAACCTCATAAGCCAGCTACAAAGCGTCAGAAAGGTGTTGTGGGTGGTACAGCTTCTGTGGGTGCCCGGGTGGCTGCACAACCAGTTCCACCCAAAACCACCAAATCGCGGGTAATCCGCCGCCCAAAAAAAGATTTGGACTAGCGCAAAGTCTTCACAGGCTATTATATAGTATAAATCTACTTTTGCGCAATTTTATCACGTTTGGTTGAGGCGTTACAGCTGCAATACTCATGAAGCTGTTGTGTTGTTGCCCGGGCGTTGAGTGACCCGGGGCGTTAGCTGACCCGCTACTGTAGCGCTTTCAGCCACATGCGCACTTTCTCAAGTTTTCCAGCCACTTTGCCATACCATACGCTTCACCACAGCCAACGCGTCATGGCTCGATAAAGATTGCAGCATCTCCGGCCTCCCATGCCCCGAGTCCGCGTCCCCAATGCTAGCTTCATCGCCAGCGCGGACCTCCCCATCCTTCCGTTCCTTGCGCCGAGAGTCTTCGCCGAGTCACTTATCCCAGGGAGGAACAGGCCGCACAATGCCAGGGGTGATGCTGCGCAGAAAGAGAAGCAGAGTCCTTTTGGACTATCGGAAGCTTCAGGGCGGATAGGAGATGCAGAGAAGAATCATCAGCTTCGGCACCAGTCTGGGTCAAAATGTCGCCAGCATCTGAGGCAAAAGGACCTGGCCGCGGGGTCGCTGCAAACATTGGGTTATTGGCAGAAAGAGTCGAATCATCCGCATCCTGTCAATTGGCTTTATTCGGAAATTTCCAGCTTTGCCCGGCAACATGCACGAACATATGCGACCACTACGCCCAGCCATTCCAATGCACCAACCAAAACTGGTGTTGGAAAACGCCGACTCTACAGAGCTGTGTCCAATCGCACTTCTTCCGTGCTTGCTCCAAATGCGTATTCGCAGGCAGCCAGACGAGAGAAATTACTGGCCTTAGAGAGAGCACGAATCTCCAATTACATCTCCCGACTGCCATCCAATCTGTCGCCAGACGAGCTGATGGACCGGGGAACCTACAGGTCTCTTTCTCGCCGCGTGCTGAATTTGCTGCGTTGGAACTCGAAACATTTGGACCTGACTAGGAAATTGGATCGCTCTGAGAAAAGGACTCGGCTGAATGTAGCCTTTGCTGCGCTCGATCGGACACTTTATACCTCTTTACGAAGACATACGCGAAGAGTTGTCATAAAACACAAGCCGCAATGCGTCCGACTCAGCCGCAAGCTGTTCCCACCTAACACTCCAATTGGCTCACATATGGTATGGAAAAACTGGGTTGAATTCGATGTTGGTACAAGGAGAGCGTACGCCCATCGGCTGCTCATCTACCTTTTGGATCGCAAACCTGGCCTTGCCTTGCGATTCATACAAGTTATAGCCAACGATCCGCTTTTACGAGGCCGGAAGACACGAGCTATCGCAGATGCTCTTGGCCATCTCTCCAAGATTCATACGAGAAAAGTATACGGTGCTCTCCAAAAGTGGGGTTCCGATCCAATGGCACATCGGAAACTGTTCGTTCCTGCATTTGTAAACATATTTACCAAGTCACTGTCTAGCCAGCCCGACGTCTGTTCTCAGGATCTCCTATACAACCTGGTGGAACTAGCCAAAACCGGCGACCTCAAGAAAGTGTTTGATTGCTTGGTTGAGCACCGTACGAGCATTGGGTTTGACACCATGTTGCATTATGCGAGCGCCTTTGGTGAGGCTGGGGAAGTCCAATACGCCTTGAAATGTCTCGATGAGCTCAGAGTAAGACACACTACGACTGGATGGAACGCGGTGGTGGGCCGGGAGAGATTGCGATGGACATGCGCCACCATACTGCGTCACAGCATGAGCGCAAGCCACGACTTTCACCAAACTCCCTTGATAGTGGCTGCTTTTGTGCGCCTGGGGATCAAGATGGACATCTTGCTTTACAACATAGTCATGCATAATGCTATGCAAGCTGGCGACTACAACACTGCCTTCAAAGTGTACAACACCCTGGAAAGCAATGGATTAGAGCCCGATGCACACACTTACTCGATTCTCCTCCATGGGTGTACATTGCAAAATGATCCAGCCATATTCCAAAGTTTTGCACAACATTGCGCAGATGTGGCCAAGCAAGGGGAGTATTCGTGGTTAGCGGCGGATTATCTGTACTACCTATATGTACGTTATCAGATTGACACTGACGCTGAACATACGCGCGCGTTGCTGTGGGACGCCTACTCAAAATTATTTTCCACGGAGCCGCTGGAACCTTTTATCGCCTCTGGAATGATGTATCCGAGGCATGCCATGACTGAGCAAAACACCCCTGCACCGAACTCGGCACTTCTCACGCCGCCTTCTGTAGCGCTCTACATCATGATGCAAACAGAGATTCAATCAGCGTTGACTGTAAGCAATCAACGAGTCCTAAACCTGTACCGGATATTCAAGTCGGTCGCAGTAGAGGGGAGCAGCCCAGCCTTCAGAAGCCTGGTCCGGAATCCAATCATCTGGAACGCTTTCCTTCTTGCCTTCAGCCAGAAGCAACAATTTGCAAACGCGTCTCAGGTCATCAAGGACATGACGGAGAGCCCAACGAAGCCCAATATCTACAGTTGGAACATATTGATGCAGGCATTCTTCAAGACGGGCCAAGTGCAAGCGGCTGAGCGTGTATTTGAGATTATGCGTAACCGGGGCGTTGATCCGGATCAATTCACGTATGGCATTTTGGTACGAGGGTATGCCAAAGCACAACTGGTTGAGCGCATAGGTGAGACGATGGAACATCTTGAGACTGAGCAAGAACTTGAACCCAATCTGCTGCGGGCTCTGGCAGCTGTTGTGAACCGGCGGCAGCTCATGCTTACATTGGAGAAGAATCGGCTTCACAAGGAAGCCAAGGCGCTCGCGGACGCAGACCAAGAAGCTGAAGAGGAGCGTGCAAGATGGGAGCCACCCTTGTTTGACATTACCAATATCGAGACAAGAGGGGCAAGCGATAATGCATCAAGAGAGTCGCAAGCGATAGACAGTCTGCACGAGGATTCGTCCACCAGCTCCATGGCCCCGGGCGTGGCTCCTCATCGTCAAGACAGCCAAGAGGCGGATATATTTGGATTTCTCACAGACGAAGATGCACCACGCGCATCGTCTGCGTCATCAACTGCTTATTCAGTGTCTGGGCAATCCATTCAGCAGCAGCAAACGCCGAAGCAGCCAGAGTCTGGCGCTGTTGATACGCGAGATCCAGAAATCCAATACAGAATGCTCCAGGAGCAACTAGGACTCATGGAGGGGTCAGAATCGCCTGTTGCTGCTGAGGCCCCGCGTCCAGAGCCGGTGGGTGCAAGTCTGGGGTTTAAGAGTGTGCTAGACACGACAGCGAAAAAGGGCGTGAGCAAGGCTAGCGTGCCCAAGGGTCGGGTCAGGCCCAAGATAAAGAGAGAGAGACTAGACCGGCCTTGGTCTGATTAAGCGCAGCATGAGACCCTTGAGCGGTATAGCATAGTCTATCGTTGCACATGCGCAGATGAGACTTGGAAGGCACCAGGAGAAGACGGCATGGGGCATTGTATGGTGTAGCAACCGGGACGCTTTGCATGTCTCAAGCAGCAAGAGTGAAGATAATGAAGACAACATGCAGGCTACTCGATCGACGGTTTTCTTGTCCCTCGTTGTCCGTCTGGCACGGCACAACCATGCAACCGGTACGCCATGTCGGCCATGGTCTACACGTTCATGGCACGTCGAAACGGAATGCGTAGCCGTACAAGACGCCTATTTTCCATGGCTGCAGGGCATATTACTCGTTTGAGCATGTCGGTCAGCGCTTGGAGGGTCAGACCATGCAGAAAGCGGTGGTAGAAAGAAAAGAAAAATTAAGTCGTGTCTGCCAATGCGGGTATTGCGGGTAGATGGACGAGTCTGGGTCGGTTGCGACGGACGCGGTGCTAGGTCTAGACTGTTGATCCTGTCTCTGCGAGGGGTATTGATTGTATGTGCAGACGGGCGCAGGCAAGCCGACAGTGTGGCTCTGGGCAGTCATGCAAAGCCATGCATGCATGGGCGTTGTCATTGTTGCAGCGGATGCAGTTGGCACAGCCCGCCCGCCGTGGCTGCTCATGGTGGTGGTGGTGGAGGAGGTGGTGCGCGTGGCCGTGTAGGAACAAGGGCCGCGGCATGGCCCGCTGGGCGACTGGAAACAAGCAAAGCGCCATCCATGGGCAGCGCACGCGGACAGCTGGTGCGCACTGGTGAAAGTTAGTGGTCGGAAACAGTATCCGCAGTTTTCATCTGCAATCTACACCTGCCCGTTGCAATTACCACGTTGGGAATCCAAACTGCATCCCAATGCGAGTCAGAGCTGGATCTTGTATTGCCGTCTGTCGCCATGGCTGACGCCACGTCAGGCCATGGCCGGACTGCCAGCCAGCTGTTGTTGCGGCTGGCATTGTAACAGGCGTGTAGAGTCAAGAGAGAAGCTCTACAGTGAATGCACTTGGCCCTGTTTAGATGAAGCTCTATACAAGGACGATGTCGTGGGCATTGGGTGATGGCGTTGGTGGAGGAGTAGTTGCTCGAGGCAATTGGGGCCTGTGATTGGTCGGGACAGACGTGCGCATGTCGGTCCGAGATGGATGTGTACCAGGACAGCCAAAGACGCGTATTCGTCTGGAAGATGAAGCCGCATTGTGTGTTATAGGCTGGTATGGTGTGCCTGTCGGTATCGGTATGTACACTGCACATCACGTATTGGTGCTGACGAGCCCACGCGTGCATCCCAGAGATAAGTTGCTGATAAGCCATGGTCCTCTGCTCAACACTAGCCCACAAGTCGTCCATTGAGCCGCATCACGTGACCAGACGGATGGCGGGTTTCACACTACCACTACCACTACCACTACCACTACAGGGACCGCGGCCTCTGCCTCAGCGTCGGCACGGCAACGGATGCATACAAGCACAAGCACGCAGCACGCCCTCGCTCGAGCTACTCGTTTCTGGGGATATGACGTGGGTAGCAGTCTGGAGGAGTGGAAGTGCAGAGTGGGAGCCCCATACGTCTTGTGGCAATACTGACACTGATACTGGCTGGCATGACGACCCACAAAGAATATGCACCGAAGACGCGTAGAAGCAGGGAAAACCGGGAGCTGTCCCATGGGTCGCCTCCCCGCAGCTGTTCGTCCGACGCGTGTTGCACCTGTCTACACCTACACCCACCTACACCTGGGAGAATGTCTGGCAGGCCTGGCCGCTCGTCAGCTATGTCATGCTATGCGCGGCAGCCTCTGACGATCCGCTCCTACACTGCATAGCACACGCCGTGCCAAACCCCAAGCCCCGATGGTCGTCCAGGTCGTCGGTGGGGTTCGGCCGTCCAGCACGTCGAGCACACCAGCGCAGCGACTCACACAGGCCCGTTGTCGCCCTACCCCACACGTCCAAGTCAAGAATGACGTTCAACGACGTTGACGTCGGTGGTAAATCACGGAGCCAAGCCGCAGAGGCTCAAATTTTGAGGCCGACGAGGCCCCGCAGCCAATGGGCACACGGCGCATGCCTGTAGCTTAAGCCTGTCAAGCCTTTGATTTGCCAAGCTTGTCGCTCGCGGTGCGCCCAGTCGCCGTTAGTCACCATGCCCGGCCATGCAAAAGATGACGTCGACTACCACCGCGGAGACCCACGACCACCACACGCCCTCGGCCTGTGCTACTTTTCCTGCAACAAGGATCATCACAGCGAGCTGCCATGGCCGTCCACGGTTCACAGCTCCGGAATGACGGCATTGCGAACTCGTGCTACCCCAAAGTGGAGCAGAATGGATACGTTATATGTAGCTGGAGACCCCACGACCCCAACTTCTGATACTACACCACTGTCCAGTTGATCGACAGTCACCCAAACATTTCGATACAATCATGGCGATGCGAGACCAGCATTCGCCTGCGTCGTCCACCATGGACCACGACCCCGAGAAGAAGCCGCAGATGCTCAAGGGCGGCATTAAGGAAATCTTTCGCATGCGTATCATTGCCATGGCAATTATCGTCTCAATGGGCGGTGTGCGTACTACAGCCGATACCCAGCAGGCCTGCCACTAACAGTCTCCAGTTCATCTTTGGCTACGACACTGGTCAGATCTCGGGCTTCCTGGAGATGCCCGACTTTCTCCAGAGGTTTGCCGACCAAAAGGACCCTCAGACTGGTAAACTAAAGTTTAGCAACTGGAAGTCTGGGTTGATTGTCGCCTTGGTAAGTTGGGTACACTGCTTCAATTTTTCACGGCACGAGCCAACACTTTTGTAGCTGTCTATCGGTACCCTAATGGGAGCCCTGATTGCTGCACCCATTGCAGACAGGTTCGGCCGCAAATACTCCATCGTCTTCTGGAACATCATCTTCTGCGTCGGAGTCATTGTGCAGATCACCACGACAAACACATGGTACCAGATCTCGCTGGGTCGCTGGGTCGCTGGTCTTGGTGTGGGAGCGCTTTCGGTGCTGACACCAATGTATCAATCAGAGACTGCTCCACGCTACGTCCGTGGTGCCCTCGTCTCGTGCTACCAGCTCTTCATCACGCTTGGCATCTTCACGGCCTACTGCATCAACTTTGGTACCGAGGCCCGCCGCAGCTCCTTTGCGTGGAAGCTTCCCATGGGCATTGGCTTCATCTGGTCGGCCATCATGATTGTCGGCATCATCTTCATGCAGGAGTCGCCCCGATGGGAATACCGCAGAGGCAAGATCGACAGCGCCAAGCACACCATTGCCCTCACATACGGCGTTCCCGAAGACCACCCAGAGGTGCAGCGCGAGATCCGCGAGATCCAGAAGAAGTTTGAGGCCGAACAGGCGGGCGGAGGTCACCACCCGTGGTATGAAATCTTCACAGGACCCCGCATGGCCTACCGTGTTACGCTTGGTATTGCCCTGCAAGCTCTGCAGCAACTCACGGGCGCCAACTAGTAAGTCTGATTTGAGTTGTGTAGGTGTTGGAGCAAGGCGTACTAACCGCTCGCAGCTACTTCTACTACGGAACGACTATTTTCAACTCCGTCGGCATCAGCAACTCGTTCGTCACGTCCATGATCCTGGGCGGCGTCAACTTTGGCATGACGTTCCCTGGACTGTACGTGGTCGAGCGCTTCGGACGACGACCCTCGCTCATTGCCGGCGCACTGTGGATGTTTATGTGTTTCCTGGTGTTTGCCTCGCTTGGCCACTTTTCGCTGACCAACGACGATGGCACGTCCAACCAGGGCGTGGGCTATGCCATGATTACGTTTGCGTGTCTCTTCATCGCAGGCTACGCCATGACCTGGGGCCCGATTGTGTGGGCTGTAGTGGGCGAAATCTACCCGTCTCGGTACCGCGCCAAATGCATGGCCCTCGCCACGGCCAGCAACTGGACGTGGAACTTTCTCATTTCCTTTTGTAAGTCGACTGGGCCATCGCTCTGTCTGGAAGAACATGCATTGACAGTTCTTCCCAGTTACACCGTACATCACTTCGGCCATTGACTACCGATACGGCTACATCTTCGCGGCGTGCTGCTTCACCGGCGCCGTCGTCGTGTACCTGTTTGTGTGCGAGTCGCACGGCCGCACCCTCGAGGAAATCGATACCATGTACATTTTCCACGTGACGCCGTGGAAGAGCAAGCACTGGGAACCGCCGGCCGACGAGGACCTGCCGTCGCTCGACAGCACGTATCTGACGCCTGGCGCGAGGGGCATCAAGAAGGGCAATGAGGCGAGGGCGCCCGAACAGCTGAGGCGAGAGAGCGTGCCTGTTAGCGACGCCGACATGGAGGCTAGCGGGGCGAGACAGCAGTAGTTTGCTTTGGCGCGTTACAAGTTCAAGTACGAGTTATGGTTTCTTTGTAGTGTTTAGCGAGCATCATCCATGCATTGTATTATACCACCATGTCCAGGCATGAAGCCTAATGAATTTTTGAAACCACACCCCTCTGATCGTTATTTCCCCGACCAAGTTATAAAAAAAATTGTGAAAGTGACGGTCACTTCAACACAACTTGTTCTACACCCAGTCGCATGAAGTTTGCAGACGCAAAAAAAATCGTTCGAAAGACCCTGAGCAAGCCCAGGCACGTTGTCCCCTTCGTGGATCGAACACGATACCTCCAGATTTAGTGACCAAATTTGACTTCAGTCTGGCGCTCTCCCAATTGAGCTAAGGAGACGAGATTCTTGATGAATGAACAGGCCGGAGTAGCAGATATATAGTTGTTTATATTTTTTCCTACACGCGCAAACCACAGTGCTGGCCGTCCGACAATCTCACAATCCGACATGGCTGGGGTTTTGGCAAGCATAGCGCGCCAAAGTAATACCCCCTCATGCTCAAGGCCCCTGTTCTGCACGTGAGGAAATGGTGTGATGTATCCCTGTTTGCATGTATGTATGTATGTCAGACAGCAAGCATGTGTAAAGAAAAATGATTTCTTTTTTTTCTTCTTTCTCTTTTTTCAGTTTCCAGGGCATCGCTCCCAAATGGCGGGCCAAGAGGGAAAAAAAAAGAGAAAAAAAAAGAAAAATCAAGGCTCGGCTTGGCGCGGATGTGGCAGTAGCAGGTAGTGGTAGTGGCAGCTGTGTTGACATCATGACGCGGGTTGGAGGCCCGAGAAAGCTTGTGTACATAATCGCGCCGAAAGTCAGAGAGAGGGGGGGGGAAGGTAGGAGCGGGGGAGCCGCACGCGTACATTACATTCACGGACGTACGGACGTACGTGTGTATTGTTATTACTATTTTGTTTGCGTGAACATTGAAGGGTGGGGAAAGAAAGAAAGAAAGAAAGATAGTGAGAGAGAAAGAGAGAAAGAGATTTGCTGCGTTGAGAGCCACCGCCACCACTGACGCAGCAGCTTGTTTTCCGCAGGAGCCGGGCGCCACGATACGAAGACTTGGACGGTTTGCAGTTGTGTGTATTTGTTTGCAACGCGACTTGGCCGAGACGTATCTAGCATGGCGATTGTGCAGGGTTGGCTGCCGCCGTCGCGCGAGAACTGGGAGTGGTTATGCTGGATGTGGCAGTTTTTTCCTCTGGTATGTTGTTGGGCCCTCCCATTGCGCTGACTGCGCGCGCGCGCGCACACCTCCCCGCCACTGCATGCAATAACAACAACAACAAAAAGGCTAACATGAGGGTTGTCAAAATGATAGTTTACGACGGCGCAATGGGTACTGGATTGGTATCCGCAGGGCAAGACGTCGACTGAGTCGCGGTTTAATGTCGATGGCAAGATAGGATGGGCGACGATGGAGTGCGTGGGACCGCTCACGTTGGTGTACATTATGATGTCGCTGCCGAAAGAGGTGGGAATTGCAGAGCTGCCCATGGGAAACTGGACCATGGCAGGGTGTTTTGTGAGTTTCTGGCACATGGCGGTCACGATTGTGCAACTGACGGTTGAGAATTCAGGTCATTCACTATGTCTATCGGGCCATCATCTCGCCGCTGCTGCTCAACCCCAGCATGTCGCCCATGCACATTCTCATCTGGATATCGGCGGTGATTTTCCAGCTGTGCAACGCGATTTCGATAGGCGGCTATCTGGCAGGGTACGGGCCGACGTCGCAGTATGAGTGGAGTGCGCGGACCGAGTGGATGTTTGTCGGGCTGGTGGTGTGGTGCTGGGGGCTCATGGGCAACATGTTCCACGACGACGATCTACGGGAAATCAGGAGGGCGGCAGGGCGGCGGCAGCGCAAAGAGGTAAAGGAGCAGGGCAAGGCGGTGGACAGGGTGGACAAGATGTATATGATTCCCAAGAACGGACTGTTCAAGTACGTCTTGTACGCGCACTACTTTTGCGAGTGGATCGAATGGGCAGGGTGGTGGATTGTGGGCGGATGGGGCTGCCACCCGGCGCGCGCGTTCCTTGTCAACGAGATTGCGACGATGCTGCCGCGGGCGTTGCAGGGCAAGCGGTGGTATGAAAAGAAGTTTGGTAAAGAAAAACTAGAGGGGCGCAAGGCGGTGATCCCGGGGCTGGTATAGGTCAGGGGGTTTGTTTTGTGCACAAGAAGCTTTGACAGGCTAGTGGATAAGCTTCTGGCGTTCCATTGCCAGAAGGAAAGGGGGAGTAATCAAAGGACGGTTCGGGTTCAGGTTCAGGTTCAGGTTGGAGGGATTGCTTAGTGAGCATGCAGCAGGGCAGTTTGTCGGGTGCAGGACTTGACCTGGTAAGCATGACATGGAGGCGTCTGGGGAGATTGTGGAGTGAAACTTGTTGGCCACACCAGTTTGGGCGGCACTGGGGGTGGATTAATGGCAAGGTTGTGACGGGTAATTGGGATTGGGATTGGGATTGCAGGTTTTTGTGTTTTTTTTTCATGCTGCTTTTCTTGTTTGGTGCGATGGTTCAAGCAGCGGTTGCCGATCGGGACATGGATGAAACTCGGAGCAGCAGGCGGATGGCAGGAGGACATTGGCCGGTAGGTAGGATACGAGTAATGAGAGCTCTGATACGAGCGAGACGCCACGATGCGCTGTCGGTCTCGGGCTCTGGATGGGCTGCAACGTGCCGAGGGCAGTGTGTGCTGAGGGCGTCTTAATATAGAGTGGGCGGCGGGCCAATGGCGGGCGGGGCACGGGCGGCCCTGTCGCGGGAGCTCGTAAAAAAACAAGCGAGGCCATGATGTTATTGGAACCGGGATGGCGCCAAGCAGCCGGGCAGACGATGACGGAGCTGGATTTGGCATGATGACACGGCGGCCAGGGCTGGCTACTCTGGATGGAGTAGTACATAAGTAGCAGCATGTGTGGCAGTACATTCACAGCAGAGAGTATTACCTGTATAGTAGATGGTGCCATGTCGGGCCGTGGCCAGGACAGGCACATGGCAGCCGGCCTCAGCCACTGACGCGCCGCATTGGGGACTAGCGCGGCGCCACCCTGCTGGCAGCCTTACTGTTTAGGCCTAGCGCCAGCCATGGCGCGATGCACCAGGCGCCGGCTTTCCGTCCCAAGCTCTGCCAGCGGGAAGAGGGAGGGAGGGAGAGCGAGGATGAGGATGCGAGGGAGAGGAGAGGAGAGCGAGGGAGAGGGTGAGGATGGAAAAGAGAAGAAGAAGACAGGTGTCTGTTCGTGGCCGCGTTTCAATGTGCAGCCACCATGGCGCCCACATCGCTTGCCCATACGCCCTCGCCCTCTCTCTCTCTCTCTCGCGCGCGCGCTCTCTCTGGTCGGCTCGGCGGCACAGCGGCCCCGCCAGAGAAAGAGAACAAACAACAGAGGGCGCTCGTCCAGCGACTCCAGCTGCTGCTGCTGACGGCGGCGGCGCTGGCTGTTGTTGGGCCCAGACAAGGCCAGGCAGGGCGGCCGCTTGGGGGGTGTGTGTGCATTCAATAACCGCTGGTGGCTAGCCAGGATGCGCTGCATGCCACATCCCTCTCTCGCTCCCGTGCAGGGTCCGCGCCGTCTCGTGCACACCCTCACCCTTTGCGCGCCCTCGCCCACTCATCTGCTCACATACACATACATCATCACCGCCCTCCCAGACCCACGCGCGACAAGCACCGCTTCGCCTGCCCACACACTTGTCGCCGCCCGCCGCCGTCCACCCGCCTCACGGCTGCGCTGCCATTGCGTTGCGCGACACACTAACCTCGCCCTCTTGCATAGTCGTGCCGACCACGGTCTCGCAACACGCCCCTACCAAGCCCGAACCCACTCAAAACCCACCGGCCTCGAATCCTGCTCCACGCCCGCCCCAGAGCCTCAGTCGCTCTTCTGTTCGTGACAGTGCCCGCCTCCCTCTGGCCGTGCCACCATCGCAAACATGTCGGGCAATGTCACTGCCAGTACGTTGTCGCTCTCTTTTGTCGCGTCCAGCCCTGCTGCCGCTGCCTCTTCTGCTCCGCGTGCAACAAACACTGCTGCTTCTGCCTCGCCTTCTGCTCCTCCTCCTCCTCCTCCTCCTCCCTCCTCTCCCTCCTCTGCTCCTCCGCCGCCGCCGTCTGTAACACCCTCCACAGCACCACAGCCCTCACCAGCGGCCTCTGCTCCTACTCCTGCTTCTGCCGCGCCCTCCAATGCGCCCGCACAGTCTGCTTCAAGCCCTGCCCTGGCTTCTAACTCACCTTCAGCCCCGAGGCCCGCCACCAGCCCGCCGCCCTCGACCCCCCAACCAGCTCCCTCGAGCGCGCCCGCGCCCGCACCCGCCCCCGAATCTTCGCCTGCACCTGCCCCTGCGCGTGCCCCCTCGTCGGCTCCTCCCCCAGCCGCCGACACGTCAAAGACCAAGGCGCCACCGCCGGCTGCAGAGACGAGCGCTCCTCCTCCACCAGCAGCAACCACTGCGCCCTCGACCAACAATGCCCCGCCTCCTCCAGCCGGTACAAGCACCGTGACGGCCCCCTCGGCGCCCCCCTCGACAGCTGTCCAGACCTCGATTGTCGTCGTCACGTCGGCCACGGCTCCAGGCCAGCCGCCCCAGGTCATCACCATCACTTCAATCATCACCCCATCTGGTAATGTTGCAGCGCCCACAAAAGGGGCATCCTCGACCGCCACAGGCGCCGACTCGTCCAGCACGAGCTCCACTGGCCTGCAAAATGCGCAAAAGGAAGACAGCGGCGGCATGAGCAGCGGCGGCAAGACTGCCATTGCCGTCGTCATCCCCGTTGTGGTCGTGGCGCTGTTGGTGCTGGGCGGCATCTTTTTCTGGCGAAAGCGCAAGCAACGCAAGAGCGCAGAAGACGAGCGCAGGAAAGAGGTGGAGGAGTATGGCTTCAACCCCAACCACGACCCAACCCTGCCCGCCGTCGGTGGTCTGGCCATGGCCGAGGACGAGAGCGGATACCGAGGATGGGGCAACACCACGACCAGCTCCAACCGTAAAATGTCCACGACGCTCACCTCGGGCATGACGTACTCGGACAGCAACAGCAACCCCGGCGGATATGCCAGTCCCCACTCGCCCACACACGGAGTCTACTCTGACGCCCACTCCAACGACCCATTGATGGACGGCCGCCGCGAGACAATGGATTCGGATGGCATTGGCGCCCTCGGTGTTGCCAATGGCGCTGCTGCTCCCAACTCTGCCCAGAACCAAATCGGTGTCCACCGTGGTCCTTCCAACGCCTCTTCGACATACTCTACTGCTGATCATTCCGACAACTCGGGCGATTACCCTGGCATGACAGGAAACAACCAGCAGGATTACTACGCCAACCAGGACTACTACCAGCCTGGCCCATACGGCGCCAGTGATCCCTATGGCGGCCAACAGCAGCCCATTATAAGAGACGTGTCAGCACGGCGAAACACGAGGATCGAGAACCCCAGTGTTTTCCCCCACCAAGGGAACTCTGGCATTGCGCAAAACTTTTAATTCTTTTTTAGCTTGGCTATATTTCCATCTATCGCTACCTTGTATATTGCCACATCTATCATTCTTCATTGCTCTTCACTTCGGTCGACATATATCCACACAGCGGCGTTTTTTTTTGGAGGCGATAATTCCTTCGTTTTACCTTTTTTTTTATATCAACCTACTCTCCACATTCTGCCTCGACCTTTTCTTTTACCGTCTTCACCGGTGCGTCCGCATATGCGGCACACCGGATTGGGTGTCGACACCAAGGCCTGCTCGCCCCCCACTCTGTGATGGAACATCTTCGCAAGGAACAGACTTGTGCTTGTCTGGCACAATGACTTGGTATGAGACCGAATGAGCCTGCATTCGGAGGTTGCAACGCCGGGAGGGAATATTGAGCAAGGCAAGCTTTACACACGATTTGTATGTGTAAAGCTAGCACAAAAGCAAGAGTGTTTGCGAACTTGGTATCAGTGCTTCGTGCCATTGCTTTTCGAGCGTGTCGCCCCCTTTTTCCTTTTCGTCACAAGACGTTTTGAATCCCAAGGCATCCATGTGTGGATTTATTCTTTCTATTCATCTTTCTATTCATCTTTCTCGCCATCTTTCTCGAGATGCTTCGCAATCGGATCGAGAGATTGGGGGTTTTTTGACGGCCTTCACGCGACCACTGTGGTAATCATCACGCTTCCGCCCACTCTCACGCATGGGTCGTTTTTCCTACGAGTACTACTACTCTTGTCTTTCATTTGAGTTTTCCCAGCCACACACACGCCTTGTCATCCAAGGCTCAGAACTCTCTTTCTTTTTCTGTTTTACCTAAATATCCTTCTTTTTTTTTCTGTTTCTTTAGCTGTAGCGAGATGGGTGTAGTGGGGCGAGGGCAAATCAAGAGAGCAAAAGGTGGCTTTGTGCATTGCAAAGAAAGAAGACACGAGAGTGTGGACTGGGTTAATGTAACAACGGCCAAGTCATCCATCCATTCAACAAACTAACTAACCAATCCCTTGTTTTTTCGTAAAGAGAAACGGGATATCACAAAAAAATTGCATTCGATCAAGTTCTCATGTTACAGTACGAAAATGTATATGTACAGTCGCTATTTCTTGATATTCTTATTGTTTTTTGTAATATAGAGTATACAGTTACAGGCTATGCTAGGCGTTACAAATATACCTTGTCTTTTTACTGGTTCTATGTCAATGTTTCACGGGGGAGGTCAAGTGTATCCACTTGGGCGAGTGGCCTTGGATGAGTGGCCTTGTATTTAGGGCTGCACAGCAGAGACACACAACCGTGTTACACGACATGTATATGCTGTGCAACAGATCGACTCGACTCGACTCGATTTACTCTAACCACAAACATCTCTCTTTGCTCACATCATTCTCGTCTCCCCTTGTCTTCTCATTCACACACACACGTGTATATCTAGCACACCAGCTATCCACTTTATTATATCAATAAAACAAAACACGGTAGAAAAACCTCAAGTCTCACTAGAAAAATAGTACTACTGCATACTAAACTAGTCCCATGCTACCTTGAAAAGTTTGGTCCGGGTACCTCTCTCTACTGCACTGCACTGCACTGCACCGCGCTGTCGTGTAACGGTAACAGTAACCTAGCACTGCATGGGCACTGTAGCAGTTGCAATGGCATTTCCCTGGATCTGATGGTAGCGATGGTGATGGTGATGAGGAGGTGTAGGATAAAAATGAAGGAGACAGGAAGACGAGGAAGAAGAATTGTCGAGATACTATATACTGTTCAAGACACAGTAGTAACTCTGCACTATATATACACCTACACCTCGACGCACTGCATAATAATGCACAGCCATAAAGTCCACTGACAATGTCGAAAACAGTACGTAGGGGAATAACAGCACATATACTTGGTACACACGTAAGATACAAGGTGCAAATTGCTCAACCCATGCATTCCACACGCATCCTGCATCAAACCCAATGTCCACTTCTTCCTGCCGCTGCCTTTCCATACATTCACACTTGCTTTTTACCCACCCCCAGTTTTACTTGGCAACCCCATTCGCATTTGCTTCGTCGTGCTGGCATTGGTGGGCTGAGTGTTTGGTTGCCGGTATCACACCATCACATCACCCGTCCAAGTACACACACCCATACTTGTATCTAGCTGCATGGCCCCGTCGTGACGTGCATGTGCATGTGCATGTACATGATGCAACTGCATTGGTTGCTGCGGCTAGGTTACTACTTACTGCTACTGCTACATTACTGTTGCTTGTTGTTGTTGTTATCCTACACCTACACCATGATGATGATGATCTACCAAGTTGGATTAAGTACTTATCTACACGCACGCACACCAAGCACACCCATTGAACCCCCCGAAAAACCAAATATATATATATATATATATATATATATACATATATTCACTAGCGTCTTAACCTTTCCGCTCGCTCTAAAAAGTATATCGGACCTTGCATTTTTCCTGTTTTTATCCGCGAACCTTGGTTCTGACTTTGTGTGCGAACAAGGAGAGAGAGAGTGTGTGGCTATGCATCATGCATACCACCAAGTACCACTACTCACCACTACCTACTAGGTACTGTACTACAACACTAGGTGCAGGTGTACTTGGGCTGGCTCGACGCCACCATCAAGCCATGCATGCGGATTTCCAAGCCAACACAGCGGGGCAAATTTATAGTGAAGAATAGAACTTCGTGCATTGGGCTAGCTAAGTCGTACTAGCCATCGATGCTGTTGCTGTTACTTACTGTTGCTGCGCCTCATTTTATATACACTCCACTCCAGTTAGCTCAGCTCGGCTTTAGTTTCAGCTTCAGCTCAGTTCAGTTCAGCCCCGGTCGTGTTTTATCTCGCCACTGCCGTCACTCTACTCTTACAGCTCACACATACACACTCCACAGCCCCTCCTTTCAACTCGCTTCGCCATCGAATATGTACACTTGGTTTCGCTTGGGCGTGTCGGGATGGCTGTCAGTGCAGCATCACGCTTGCTTTCCCAGCCAGCCATTGACCGACGAAAAAAAAAACGCTTCTTTCGCTTCAGCTTTGTCTCGCAAACCTATCGGCGAGGTGTAGCTTGTTCAGTACAAGACGCCATTTACACGTAAATCCCATTATCAACTAGTCGATGTGGCCACTGGACATCTCCGTCTGCCACTGTCTGTCTTCCACTACGTACTGGCACCGAGAAATGCCGGAATTCACCACGTACTTACACTCCACATGCCGCTAGTATCTATCCTCGAGTGCCATGTATCCGCTCGTGGCATGACCACGTTGAAGCGATCACGAATTAGAACATCCACGTGACAGCATAGGCGGGTTCATCATCGACGTGAGCTGCAGTGCCGCGCTTTACTCCTCGATCCACCAAAACATGCAGACATCACAACCAACCAATTCTCAACATTCAGACATGGTTTCAATTTCGTTTAAGCTACATAGATATTGCCGACGCCCCAGTGACCCAGAAGAGAGACCCCTTTTGTCAACATCCCAACAAGCCAAAGTCAAGGACGAAATTTCAGGTATTAAAAACGCCGACGAATCCTTGATATGCAGCTGCAAATCAGAAAGACAAAAAGGTCAGACAAACGCCCAACGTTTTTCTTCCCATTCTTGCCTTACCCATCGTCGAGGAAAAATGCAAAAGGTAGGATAGGAGCACCGTCGCAATGCTAAAGGTCATGTCATCAAACGTCAATTAGTGTTGTTATTGTTGGTGTTGTTGTTGAAAGACGCCGGTGCTGCTCGCGCGGCCATGTTAGGGGCGCTGTTAGCGAGCCCAGAAGACGGCACTCGTGTCATCGAAGGGAGGGCGAATGGCGGTGCTGGTGCGGGGGCAGGAGGCTTTGCAGGTAGGTGTGCAGGCGTGCCGTATTTGGCGATGCTGCTTTGTGAAGAACCTGGATCACCTGGTTGCGATGTAATTCGATTCATCGAAGGAGCAGACATATTGCCCTGCATGCTCTGAGGTGATCCGAACGGCGGTGTTGAAGTAGCCGAAGGGCTGGACCTTGGCATCTGGGCAGGCATCGAGGTTTGAGCAGACATTTGATATCCACCATAGCCATTCATCTGTGGCTGTCCTGGCATCATGTTTGGCTGCATTCCAAAAGGCATGTTGCGTCCACCAGGCACAAATGCTTGAGTTTGTGGGTTAAACTGCCCACGGTTGTAGCTTCCAGGGATAGGATGCTGGTTGCGGTTTGGCTTGCCATTGTATGCGTTGGAAGGAAATTGGCCGTAGGGGTAGCCGGGCATTGGGGGCTGATGAGGCGCAGACATTGGGCGATTGCCCGGTCCGTTCTGAGCACCGTACGCATTCTGTGCCATTTGATATGGGGGCTGCTGATTGGCCTGTGGCCATCCTGGATTCACAGGCATATGCTGAGGTTGCTGGTACGTGTCTGGGTAGGATGCCATTTGTGGATTCGCCATTTTGGGCGTCACCTGAGATGGGAGACCGGCGTTCTGAAATGATGACATGCCCCGCTGAAAGTCTGTCGACAGGTCATAACCATTCTGTGCTTGTCCGTAGCCGGGGTACATCATCATTGACCCGTTGGAGGCCTGGTACTGCTGTCCGTTCCACCCATACTGCGGCTGCGCATCTGGGTTCATCATACCAGGATACGGGCTGCTGTACGTGGTTGAGGGAGAGGCTCCAGGGTTCATGGCCGCAAACGGGGCATTCTGCGTAGGGCCTGGGAAGCCGTTATAATAAACAGCATTATCTCCAGCGTACGCAGCAACAGGGTACTGCTGTGGGTAGTACACGTTGAACCGGGACCGAGCCTGAAAGTCGTCGTCGTCGTAGTTGCGCTGCTTCTTGGGCTTCTTCTTCCCAGCAGTAGAGCTTGACCTCGAGACATCCTTTCCTTTCTCCTTATCTTCTCCTGACCCATTGCCTTCGGTTGCATCAGTCTCTTCACTTTCAGCGCTGCCAAAAATACGTTGACGCGCTTCTCGATAACGCGCCTCGCGCTCTTCTCGAGATAGAGCAGTCTTGTCTTTGGTGGCTTCACCGTCGTTGCTACCCTCACTGCCACCCATTTCAGACGTCGTCTTTGACGCATTCTGTGAGTTGGCTGCAGTGTTGTTTCCAGACTTGCCATCGTCACGACGCATAATCTTGCGAGCAGGAAGCTCTACAGGAGGAGTATTGGTTCCCTTTGCGGGATCAACCATTTGTGACACGGGCGGGGGGCTGCGACTGATCAGCACAATGACTACAAAATCATCACATCAACACATACATCCTACAATAAGGCGTACGCGTGATCTTAACACCCGTCATGGTAGTATCAACCACATGGCCAAGCAGATAGTAGTCGGCAAGACGATGCGCAAGCATCCTGTAGAAAGTGTTGCAGTTAGGTAGGCACAATTCGTTCTCACTGGGCATTGTTAGCGCACGGAAGATTTTCACATTTTGATAGGAGCAAACCTACCGAGAGTCCTTGATGAAATCGATAAAGTCTTGTTCAATCTTGACCACAAACAGACGGTCTCGAGGAGAACGCAGAGCCTCGAGTAGCTTCTCGTCTGGGATAGCGGGCATGTTGGGCGCGCCATTGTGCGCAGCCATGCTGTTTGGCAGAGGCTGGGACATGGGCCCTGTGCCGTTCAGCGACTGGTTAGGGTCGTACAAGGCCTGGGACCCATTGGGTATAGGCGGAAATCTTCCTGGGGGAACTCCTCGATGAGGCTGGGGATTCATCACAGCTATCTCCTGCAGCTGGTCCCGAAAGGCGCGCGCGGCACCATGATCAGATCCCTGTCGGGAATCTGCAATGACTGAGTCTGGAGGCGATATAATGTCCTCTTCCTCGACCGCCCTCAGGCTAGCGCTGTCATCCGGTCGCAAAGACTCTTTTTCGTCCAGTGCAAATGTCGTCGCAGAGGCGACGCTCTTTCCATCGATACTGGGCGGCTTTCCTGATCCATCAGACGAAGATAGCTGGGTGTTGCTATCTTCTGTAGCAGACAACTTGACAATCGCAGCAGACTGAGGCCTGTCAGCAGCTTCCGCCTTGACATCGACGGGGGGTGCCGGCGAGGAGGCTGCTGTGTCAACTGGCGGCACGGGCTGCGAGGTGGCATTTCCAGCGCTCTTGCTCGTGTTAATGCTCTGTTGCTTCTCCGCAGGCGCCTTTGGAATGTCGCCATTTGTAGGAATAGAGCGCGGCTTCTGAGCAATGGCAGGTACACGAGGTGTCGCAACAGGTGGTCTCGCTTTGGGGGCGGAATCTTTCGACATTGGAGGCTTCATGGCAGAGGCCGCGACCTGGACTGGTTAGCAAACAAGGCGGCATTAGGGGGTCGTCGGAGAAGCGGACCTTTGCGAAAGAGAGAGGCCTCTGGGGAGCCTGTTCGGTGTGGGCTGGCGTCGCCGATGCCATGGCTCGTATGCGGCGGTTGGTGTTACAGCCCAAATGAGCAGTAATTTGCGATTCAGGCTGCGCGGGCCCAGTGCGCAGTCGGTGTTGGAATGCGGGGGAAACGGGCAACTCTCTCGTGTCAAAGGCTGAGATGGCCGGGTGGTTCAATGGGATGCCAGGCGCCTGGGGCCTCAAGCCGAAACAATGCCCAAGCCCAACGCCGTGTGCGGCTCGTCGTGGGACCGAAAGGAAGGCGGTGTTGACCAGAGGGGCGGCCGCAGGGGTTTTTCAGGAAATAGGGTGCTCAAGGAAAGTCGCAATAAACGGAGCCAGAGAGCTGGACATGTTGGTGTGCCGACATTCGGGGGGAAGGGTGCCAGAGTGGAGGGTCGTCGAAGACTGCGGTGAAGTAGCCTTGACGCCAGGCGTGCGGTCCCTAGGCTGCGTGTAGCGAGCACGCGGCGACCAAGCAGCCAGGTACAGGGCGCAACGAGACAGGCGACCGGCAAATTGGCGCGGCGGCTGGGAGGAGGGTTGCGAGTCGGGCGGCGACCAGGCTGGTATGCGGGGTGCAGGGCGAGGCGTGTGAAGGTCACAGAAGCCATGATGAAGCCGCAGGTGGGTGGGTGCGCTTAGTCATGCACTCCGCCGAATTCTCCGGCCCATGCCCATCCGCGCCTTGCCTATCGCGACCAAGGCCCGTCGCCCTCTCTCTTCGCCCAAAGCCGCCCTCGAAGACGCAACCGGGCGACGCCTACGCACATTTGCCCGCCGCCGCCGCCCCCGTCCTCGCGCCGCGTGCCCTCTGCGTGCCCGGAGCCACCTCGACCGCACTCCTCTCCGCACCCCCCCTCCGCATTGCGACCACGCCGCCCATGTTCCGCCGCCCAGGTGCTGGCCGCTCCAAGGCTTCCGCCGACACGCTCTGCCAAAAGTGCCTGCAGCGCGGACACTACAGCTACGAGTGCAAGGCGCCCGCCCAGGAGCGCCCCTACAAGTCGCGCCCCTCGCGGACCCAGCAGCTTCTCAATCCCAAGCTCCAGCCCAAGCTCACCACCGACGTGCCCGAGGACCTGGTCCGGAAGAAGGGCATCGCCGACGAGATTCTGAAGAAGAAGGACGACGACCGCAAGCGCGCGCGCTCCCTCTCCACCTCGTCTGCCGACTCCATCTCGACCATCTCGACAAACCGCTCGCGCTCGCGCTCACCACCGCGGCGAAAACACCGCGACTCACGGCGCCGCGCACCCGACGATGGAGCCCTGCGCAAACGGAGCAGGCGATCCGTGTCGAGTGACTCGCGCTCGTCGCGAGACTCGGACAGGCCCGACAGGAACACGCGGCGGCGCATGAGCTCCTTCAGCCCCGACGAGCGAGGCCGCCGGAGAACCAGGTCCAAGTCGAGGTCGAGGTCAGCGCGCATCCAGCCATCGCCTGAGAATGCTCGGCGAAGGATACCACACAGCGCCAGCGCCAGTGTACGCTCACGCAGCAGAAGCGTCCGGCGAGACAGGAAGCACCCAGACCGACGGCACTCAGTAGCGCCATCACGATCCAGAAGCCCAGACCCCATGGATACCTCGGACGAGCGGAACCCGTCCCACGGCGCCGCCTCGAGGGCTAGATGGGAAGCCTCCCCGCCACCGAAGCGCCAGTCCTCGCGATCACCCTCGCCATACCGCGGCAGTCGCGACCGCAGTCCGAGTCGGTTTTCCAAGCGCAGAGCCCTGCGGCGGTCGCGCAGCCCGCGCGAGTCGAGGAACGGAGGTCCCAGGCGAGGCAGTCCAAGTGGAATAGCAAGAAGCCGTTTCGACAACCATCCGCCCGCTCCTCTACCAGCACAAGTAGCAGCAGCACCTCCACCAGCTCCAAGAGAACGCAGTTTGAGTCCCTACAGCAAGCGCCTTGCCCTCACAAGAGCCATGCACAACGGATAGATTGAGGCAATGGACATGGATTGCACCAAAAACGAGCAAGCGTTCATAGCAGAAATCATCGAATTAGGTATTGTTCATAGCGGAGAGCGTCGAATTGGGCTTAGTTTGGTCCATCCTGTTTTCTTGTAAGTAATGTTAGAGTAAAAAAGAAAGGCAGGGGACTGCAAGGTTAGGCGCTTTAGTTTTAAATCATCAATAGCCCAGTGGTTTCACTCGGTCGAGGCATTGGCAATATAGAGAATTGCTTTTCGCAATTTGCATACGAGCATGTGCTCCTGGCATCGTGGTGATTACCTCGTGACTTCACATGCATTTTCTTTTCCTCCTCAAAGCCAAATTGAAACATGAACAGCACAAATATCTCATTTGACCAGCACCTGCAGAAAACAGCGTAGACTATGTATGTGCGCACAACAACAACAACCCGAGTCCGAGATTCAAAGCCACGCGCCTGAAACGATAACGAGAGATGTAGCGATTTTGATAACGCCCGCTGTGGATATCCCACCAACATGATGCAAGACACGCGAAGAGAGAGAAGCGCATAGAGCAACGTAAAAATATATCCCCACAAGCAATCTGCCTTGACGGCTGTTTCATACTGAATCATGGTCCCATGTATCCTCGGAAGCGGCATTCTCCATGACAGTTCCGCGACGACAACGGACAGTACTCGTCATCAATTCTTAAAGATTCCGGTATTATCGTATTGCCAATCGTCTGTAGATACAGACTCTACAGAAGCGGCATCCTAAGCACCACTAGCCACGCCGCGTATGTTGATGCCGCTTCCGGAACGCTCAGCAGAGCCGCGAATGTTGATGCCTTCTTGGCTGTGTGCCCGTCCTTGCCCGCGGATATTCATATCGGTATCGCGCGATATGCGATCGGCCAGGCCGCGACGAGGCGGCGCTGGATCAGAGAATTCGGTGACGTCGGGGTCACGGTAGTCGTTCTTCAGCCGCCCGAATCCCTCTGACTCGTCGTCATCGCGCGTGATCCTATCCGCAAGAGAGCGCTTTTGTTGTGGAACTAGAGGCTGGCCATCCTTTGTCATGCGTGCGAGCAGCGACGCGCCGCTTCCTCGCTTTACATCAATGGCATTTGACCGGTGGTGATTGCCCATGGGCGAGGTGTCCACGAAGTAGGCGTCCTTTTGCCATCGACCTCCGCCTGTAGCTCCTCCACCAGTACGATCGTAATTGGCGCGGTCATGTACCCAGCGATCCGCGCTGGGCTCACGTCGACGTCGATTGGGGCTACGGCTTCGGCTTCGGTACCGGCTGCGCCCCGTGTGCGTCGTGTCCTCTGCGAATCCGAACCGGCCATCGCCTTCCTCGTCGGAAGCAGGAGAGGCACTGCGCCCTCGTAGGCGACCAAAGCGGGACTCGTTTGGACTAGATTCATCAGCTTGCAAATTGACATTGGGCATGTGCGCAAAAGTACCTTCTCGAGCCAGGCCTGTAAGAATCAATATCTTTGCCCTGGCCGTCGCTTCGGAACCTGCCAGTGGACTGGCGATCGCCTCTGCCCCTGCCCCGGTTGTCACGGTCATTGTGCATATCTCGTCCGTTCCTGCGTGGGCCCCTTCGGTCCACGCCTGAATCACCCATTGACTCGTCTCCGCTGTCTCTCCGCCTGCTGCGTTCGCGAGAGTCCATGTCCGTGTCTCCATAGTCCAAGTAGTCTTTCTTTGGCGGGGGCCTCCGTCGCGGCTCCCGCTGGCGGTTTCCTGCTACATCTGGATTGCGCTGGTAGTAGTTGCTTCTTGTCGCCGCGCCCCTTGGCTTCTGGTCTCCAGCGTTGGACTGGCGGACCGTAAGAAGGCTTTCTGGCTTCTTCGAGTATGGTTTTGCTTTGCGAGGCGCTTGCAGCGAAAGGTTGCTCGTGTTGCCGTTGTCGGGGTGCGTGAGGATGTTCAAGGCCAAGGCGGCATCTTCTTTGCTGTAGTATTCGAGATTGACCGAGTTGTCGTTGACCCAGCGCAGCTGCTTGACGCGCGGTTCTGACTGGCAATGCTCCATGGCCCAGTACAACGGGTCATTGGGGTCAAAGTCACTTACGCCTTGGAGGTTTACGGATTCGGGCCATGGCTCGTGGATCACAATGTCCTCTAGATACGCCGCGGGTATGCTTCCCTCGGCATCGCCCGTGTTCTTCTGTTGCCGTGGGTCAGTAGCTGCGCTGCGCTCAATCTTGTGCGCCGCTCTGTCAAGCTCACCTCAACAACGTGCTGCGGCTGTGGTTGCGCTACTGGCGCCGGCTCCACATTGGGCCCTACATCAATGTCGATATCGTAGGCGACATCTGTCATGTCCGTGTCGTCCATGGCGGCGGCGGTATACAGCGAGATTCTGATATTCCACAGGGATTGCGTGGGGGAGCGGTGTTGTTGTAAGCTGGCCGGCTGGAGACAGACAGCAGGCGCGCCGCGGTAAGCTCCCGAGAGGCGGGCACTAACGCGATCACGTGAAGCGTACGGTGTGTGTTGGGCTATAGGCCAGGATGCCAGTAATAAGCCTGGGCCAGCTTGATGATTTCACGCTACAGAAAGACAACCAAAAATACGGCCACTGTCTCACAAAGTCGACTGGGCTCAAACAGATTAAAGACTCTAGAGAAACATTTGCGGGTGTCGCACGATAAGTACCGTGCTTGCACGTCTAAGACTCTTCTTCTAGCGTAAAAGTGCCGGTCTTGGTGATGAGATACTCGTTTACTGCGACATCCTTCCCGGACTCCTTTCCGTAGCCGCTCTGTTTTATGCCGCCGAATGGAGACTCTGCAGCGGATGAGTTGCCCTAGCTTTGTTTTAGCACCCGTCACTGTTTGAAGTTGCAAGGTGGCCGACGTCCTACATACCGTATTGAGTCCAATCATACCCGCTTCGAGCTTCTCAAACAGTCTCCATGTCCGGTCAACGTTCTTTGTGAAGCAGTAAGATGCCAGGCCCATGCCCGTGTCATTGGCAGCCTTTACCGCCTCGTCTTCCGTGTCAAATTTGATGAACGTGCTGATGGGAGCAAATGCTTCTTCCTGGGCGAGATCCATGTCAGGTGTGACACCAGAGATGACCGTAGGCGCGAAGAAGTAACCGCCGTCCTTTTCGATCTTGTTGCCGCCCGTGTGTATCGTCGCCCCCTTCTTTTTCGCGTCTTCCACCAGAGCAAGTGCCTTTTCAACACCGCGCGGCGTCGTCACTGGGCCCATTGTTGTCTTCTCGTCGGCTCCATGGCCAACCACAATCTTTTGAGTCTCTTCATTCCAGCGCGCAAGGAACTTGTCAAAGATGCCGGACTGGACGTAGATACGGTTCGCCGTGATACACGCTTGGCCAGCGTGACGATATTTCAGAGCATAGATCTGACTCACTACTTGCTCGATACTTGCATCGTCAAAGATCAAGACAGGACAGTTTCCTCCCAGCTCCAGTGTGACTTTCTTTAGATTGTCTGCGCATATCTTCGCAACAAGCTTTCCCACGCGTGTTGAGCCCGTAAAAGTGACCTTGTTGACGAGCGGATGGCGACACAGCGCTTCACTCAGCTCGGGCGTCTTATCAAGGTCCGTAGTCAAGACATTGAGAGCTCCCTTGGGGAATCCGGCCTTTTGCGCAAGGTACGCCAACGTGAGGATGGTAATTGGTGTCTCTGGACTGGGCTTGACAACCATTGTACATCCCGCAGCTAATGCAGCACCCGCTTTTCTCAAGATCATTGCAATGGGAAAGTTCCATGGCACCAGCGCGACAGATACACCGATTGGCTGTTTAATGGTAAAGACACGTCGATTGGGAAGCGCAGGGGTAAACACGGTGCCTTGGATCCGTTCGGCCTCTCCAGCAAACCACCAGGTGAATCCGGTCGAATAGTCAATCTCTCCATAGGCCTCAGATTTTGGCTTTCCCGTCTCATATACAAGGATGGTCGCTATGTCTTCTCTGTTTTCTTTGATCAGAGCATCCCATTTGTACAGCATTTGCGCCCTCTGTCGCGGGCTGAGTTTCTTGTAAGTCTGAAAAGCCTCGTGGGAGCTTTTGACGGCATCGTCGACATCGGATGCGTCATTCGTCGGACACTCTATCCATGGTTTTCCAGTTCCAGGATCTTTTTGCTTCTCGTTAGAGCTGATGTCAAGGAATGGATTGGATGGCTTACCGACGACCTCGAATGTTTTACCTGATTTGGCTCGCACCCACTCGCCGTTCACAAACGAGAGATTGTGAAGGAGATCTGGGTTGTTCAGCTTATCCAAGTTAGTTGATACATTTCACGCTCGGGCTGCACTTTTGCCACCAACCTTGAAGGGCAGCTGATATTTGCTTTGGGAACCCATTTTGTAGTTGATTTCTGGGATTGTTCGAGCACACTGTTCGCCTCCGGACTATTTGGATCAAATACTGGTTCTCAGAGCCGAAGCTTTCCACTCTGCAAGCTCCAAAGAAAATCTTTCGACAACTGCCAAGTGTAGGTGATCAAAGTAAGAGAGCGGCTGGATGAGACTGCATTTATCGACCGGCCCGGTCGTCAGCCAGTCCACGTACTTACCCCACCCTTGACCGATGGAAGCCATCTGACCACAATCGAACCGCTAAGCCAGGCGGTGCGGGTATCACAGGAAATGGTATCCGGTACCGGGTGTGGATTACAGCAAAGAAACGAGGATGCCAACAACAAGATGCTCGGCGATATCGGACTGCTATTGGCTCGAGCCTCGGTGGTCCTCGAGCAATACGCCTTGTGGAAGCGGGGCATGACCCTTACCCCTCACTGCAGGAGCACCACTTTACTCTGATGCACCGCGCACTCATGCTATCTCATTGGAGATGGCGACAATAGCGTCTAAAGAACTGATACCAAGAAGTGTCTTTCCCGTCCCTTGAACACACCATTGTGCCCGTGCCACGAGCATCCAACACCACCTGTATTCACCGGCACCGAGTCCGACACCCTACCCACTCCTCTTTCATACCATCTCCTAGCAAGGACTTGAATCAAGTAACAAGCACACAATGGGCAGACTAGACGGAAAGGTCGCTCTCGTGACCGGTAAGCAAGCACCCGTTCACCGCGTACCGCCAAACCCCCCTGCCCTGCCGCTTTCTGCTAACAAACACCCCGTACAGGCGGCGGCTCAGGTTTCGGCGCCGGGATATCCAAGGGCATGGCGGCTGAAGGCGCCAAGGTGCTTGTCTGCGACATCAATTCCGCCAGTGGCTCGGCAACGTGCTCTTCCAACCCGTCGGCACTGGCCTTTCACCAAATGGACGTGACAAAGTCTGCCGACTGGAAAGCCGGAATAGCAGCGTGCATTGAGAAGTTTGGGCGCTGCGATATCCTCGTGAATAATGCGGGCTGGTCGTATGCTAACAAGCCCACGTCGACGGTCACCGAGGACGAGTTTGAAAAGGTCTTCGATGTCAATGTCAAGAGCGTGTATCTGGGCTGCAATGCTTGGGTCGGCCAGGCGATTGAGCGTGGCGAAGGCGGCGTGGTAATCAACATTGCGAGTGTGGGGGCCACAAGACCAAGACCGGGACTTGTGTGGTATAATGCGAGCAAAGGTGCTGTTTGGAATGTACGTCTTCCTGTATCTTGCTCTGTATATCTTTACTCACGTGTACCAGGCAACAAAAGGACTCGCCGCAGAATACGGCCCGCATCAGATTCGCGTCGTGTCTATTTGTCCCTTGGTCACTGCGACGGGTCTCTTCTCTGCCTTTACAGGTACGGAGGATACGCCCGAGAACAGGGCGAAGCTTACGTCCAATGTACCCATGGGCCGCATAGGTGAGGTGGACGACGTAGTGAATGCGTGCATCTTCATGGCGAGTAAAGAGGCAGGCTTCATCACGGGAGTCAACCTTGAAGTGGATGGTGGACGATGTATCTAATTTGGCGATTTACTTACAAGCCGTAGCGGAGACCCGCAAGCTTAGAATGGAAAACTGGCCACGCACCTCGAGATACTTTATTCGTATATATCCATGTCCGAAGACTCGTCTTCCATGGCCTCTTCCTGCTCCAACATCTCCTCAATCTCCCTGCGTCTCCTCTCCCGGTCACTGTCCACAGCAGCCTTCCCGTCAATAAGCATATCATGCAGCACCGCGCCGCGCCTCTCCTCCCGACTCAGGCTAATCTCCCTATCCAGCTCTACCGCCCAACCCTCCCACACAGCCCCCCGCTCACTCGCCGTCATGCGACCCCTACTGACTCGCCACCGCTTTGTAAGTTCCCTCTCTCTGGCCGCGGGGTTGCTACAAACCATAAAGCCATACGCCTGCTCCATCTTCTTGTACGCAGCCTGATGCGGCGTTCCCGTCGTGTAATTCGGCATCCTAGGTCCCGGCGCGGGATAAGATTCCAGCACCGTGTATTTCCCTTTTCTCACTCTCTCAGTGGCATTCGGCCACACGCCTACAGGCAGGAATATGGCTTTGCTAAGGGTGATTTTGCCGCTACCAGGTTGTGTGTGGCCTAGGAGGAAAGCATCGGTTTCAGCGTTGCCCTTGTTGCCTAGTTTTGCGCCGCCGGGACCGATGGTGTTTGGGGGAACGACCACCCCGGGGAAGTAGATCTGTACGGGGATGCTTGCGTGGCTGATGCCAAAGGGGGATGTGGCTAGCAGTGAGGGCGCAAGAGAGGAGAAGGGGGAGGGTGGCGGAATGAAGGTTAGTGGACTCGGGGCAATGCGCTGCATACCAGGTCGAAAGGTCGTTAAAGAGGCTGCAGACGGTGGATATAGGTGTGGAGGCTGCTGCTGCCCACTTGGCATGAAGTTTTGGTTGGCACCGTTGGATCCAGGCGCTCCCGCACGCGATAGGGAAAATGGCGGCTGTTGCTGTCCTTGAACAGGTGCATGGTTGCCCTGCGCTTGCTGGATCGCTATAAGCCCTTGTGTGACTCCAGATAGCGGGGCTGGATTTGATAAACCTAGAACAGGATGAGATATACCCTGAGTCTGACGGTTTACATTTTGCATATGGTTGTGAGGTTGTTGGGCAAAAGGGTAAAGGGATTGAGTAGGTACAACCTGGCTAGTCCCATGTCCAGACGTGATGGATGGGATACCGTGGAAGTTGCCTGCGATATTCAAGCCCCCGGTTTGGGTTCCATGGCTCAAGACGGGATATGAGTAAGGAGACGGATGCGAGGGTCCAGCCGATGGTTGTGCAATGAAAGGAGCATGCCCTCCAAAGTTTCCAGGCAATTGATTCTGAGATCCCCCATTAGGAGCTTGTGGTGGAGGAACAGTGATGGATGGAGCGGAGTATGGAAATGGAACAGACAATGAAGCCACCTGATGTTGTGCAGGAGTCATACTAGGCATAGTCGATGAAGGCGAGGGGCCAAAATGAACGGGCATTGGTTGTTGCGGATTGGACATTCCCATGCTTTGAGCGTATGCTGGGTTTGTTTGGCCAGGAGAAGCAAGGCGCGGCAACGGTGGTAAGTCCGGCGGAGGAAGACTGAGGAGCGATAGGAGTGAGCTGGAGGACATTCGCATTCGGTCACTCGCGCTATTTTCATTCTCCGAATCATCAGTACCCGGTCCTTCCTCATCGCTGATAATGGTATGGCGCGGTGTTGGTGTCACGGGGCTGTCCTTCAATGACTCCAAAACAGTCTCTCTATCCCGGGCGCCTTGAAAAAGCTTACTTTTCATCTTGCCGACCAGGGGTGTAGGAACAATGTTGATCTTGTCCTTGCCCTCAAGTCTATGTTGCTGAATCTTGCGCTGCATATGCTCAGCTATATCCGGAAGAGGTGTATATGAAGGCGTAGGTGGAATCAATGGGGCTCCAGACGACTCTTCAGGTGCAGCACTGTGGTCAGCAGTCTGAGCCTCGACGGCTAGCTGGTGGCTAATGGCAATCTCCATTTGCTTCTTAATCTGCTTTTCCTTTTCTAGAAAAACCTGCTGCGCTATATGGGCGTCTTGCTCGTAATTCTTGAGACCGTCTCCATCAACAGGAGGAGTGTCTCTTACGCTCTGCTTTTGGCATCGGTTGTAGTCTCTCATGTGTTGCGGGGTAATTCCAACTTCCATGAGCATATAGAAGGCGCGTTGACGTGATTTGAAGCAAGCAGCATGGTACTTTGCACGCTTTTTGGGATCTCGAGGAATGTTGATCAGAGGTGGGAGAGGTTCGTTGAGCTTCGGCGGCTGTATACCAAAGTGCACTTCGCGGTACTGTAGACGCTCACTTTCTTCTGCCTTGCGCTCCAATTCGGCCAGATCTGGTTTCTGTCGCATCTTCTTGGTAGGCGAGTTTTGCGCAAGTTCCTGTGCGTTGCTATGCTCTGGTGTCCTACTACCCGTTTCGCTCTTCGTTACATCGTCACCGTCGTCATTTGCCTCGTTCACCCTCTTTTTAACATCTTCTGAAACCACGAGTGGATGATACTCAAAGTCCCACAGACTTGGAATCTCGCCGCGCAATGCCGCTTTGAGTGCCTTTCCGTCTCCCTCGTAGAAGTCGATCCACCTGTACAGAAACTCGATAAAGTTTGGCACCACTGCACTGTCCACCTGCACTATGTCGACCAGAATTCGCAACATATCTTCCTCGCGGATTAACTCTGGGTCTATGACTCGGGCTTGGGCCGTGATTGGAGCTCCGTTACGTCGCAGTCGCTGCGCAGGGGGGAGATTTGGTCGCACTGTGTCGAGACGCGGCTTCTTGGGCGAGTGCGGAACCACAAGAGACTGGCGAGTTGCTGTTTCATCCACCTCCCACTGCACGCACCAAGTCCATAGCTCTTTGCCCGTTTCGAATGCCTTGCGGTCTGTAAAGTCCTGGAGAAGCGCTAGGAAGATCTCGTGACTCGTGTCCATGCGGTAGATAATAAGATGTTGCCTGTATTGTTCGTACGGTACGAGCATGGGTAGCGGTTCAACATTTCCCATGACATCCTGCAACTCCAGGTAGCGGTCATCGAACAGGTCGAATACTTTGCCATGCGAGGCCATGGTGCTGTGCAGTTAGGTTATTCTTGTTGCAATACGCTAGATTGTAGGTGTCGGCACGGCGATGTGGCGAGCGAGAGACGTCGGCTAGGCAGAAGCGCGGGTTTGCCCTGCAAACGCAGAGGAACAGTGTCAGGTATAGCGGGGAAAGGTGAGCGCAGCATTGAGAAGTGATATTGGAGCGACAAAGAAATCGTATGCACAGCCTACCCTCATGCGGTGGTGAATAAGATGCTCTGGTCTTTCACCTAATAAGTCTATACTTGCTCATCATCACAAAGTCACCGCCGTATTTGTACACTTGCACTCGGGATATCGCCGCCGCACGCCTCGATTGAGTATGCGCCCAGTCTACCCTCGGCTGCCCATTTACTCATTTACTCGGCCCTTCATTTGGTGCTCTCCCGGATTCTCTGCAGAATGACGCTCGCTCTATCCTCGGCGTTCTCGCGCACCCTCCTCCAGTCTGTGCTATACACCTTCTTGACTCCTTCCTCGAGACTCCGGTTCCAGCGATCCTTTGCCATCTCGGCCAGTCCTACAGGCGCTTCCCGGCTTGTTGGCTCCGGCTCCGGCTTCTTGGGCTCGTAGAAGTCGGCGAGGACCTGGCGTTGTTGCCGTAGCAGGGCGGCTTGTGTGGCGCGGTTTTGCGTGTGCAGCGATATTGTGAGATAGAGGACCGCAGAGGTGAGGGTGACGCCTCCAAGCTGCATTGGTCAGCCGAGAATATGCCGTAGGAGTAGCGCACGTACGAAGCCGGTGGTGAAGCCCATGGCTAAGCTGATGCAATTGATTCGCGGGCGCAAGATGCAGGGAGTCTCTAATTCGAATGCGCTGGATGCCAATGCCTGTGCAGCTCCGGGCTATGGGTTCTTCGCAGGATGCTCTTCAGAATCAATGGATGTCCCTATATGCGGCAATTGGGGGCGGTGTTGGCCCTGGGGGAAGGAGAGTTGCCTCGGGGGGTGAATGTGCGAGTGTGAGGTCACCGCAGAGAGACGGGCAGACGTGCCGCGCATTGTTCACTGCCGAAAGCGGCAACTCGGAAAATCCGTTGATCACTGCTAGCGTCCACCACCAGATGCAACACCGAGATACGCAACACCAACCTGCCGCCATCTTTGCTCCTTTCTCGGCCTGCAGAACCAGCACAAAGTCGAGATGCGCCATCGCATACAAATTGCATTTCGCCCTTTTCAGCGCACAGCATGATGCCATGCACAAAGTCAGGCCCCCCAGTTTGCAATGGCACAGGTGCAAGGCTTAACCAGAGTGCCACCAATCGTCTTGTACACTGCTAAAGTCGGCCCCCGCCATGACTGCTGGCGAAACTGGTGTGGAGAACTGTAGGATCTCTGCCAAGGGAAAATACTCGCAAGTATGCAGCTTTGCCTGCCGTCCTTCCCTAAGCATGCATTTCACATGCAACTAGTCGCTCATATGGCTATCGTCGGGGTCCGTTGCACAGAAGCCTGCACCGAGATTGCATTTTCCAAGTCCGATCGGCCTGTTTGAAAGCCGCCATGTACTCACAATATAACCGTCTCAGCCCGCTGTGCAACACGTTGGATTCAACAAAGACACAGCCTACGCCTTACAATGGCGTTGATCCATCTCCTGCCCGTCGCCACCTTGACCAATCTCTTCCTATTCTTCGCCGTCTATTGGGCCATTTGGATCATTTACTCTCGTACCCTCCACCCCCTTGCACGTGTGCCTGGCCCGCTATGGCCTGCAGTCTCTCGAACATGGCAAAGGCAATCCTCCCCGTGTTTCAACGTTATCAAGCAGATGCTAATACACGCCCAGTAAGCGCTCTGGTTGGCCTCTAATGAAGAGTCCAACTTTGTGCATAACCTGGCTCAGCTAATTTCCTGCTTGAATACAGTGTATCACACGTACCGATGCGATATGGAACTTGCCCAGGCCGTACTCCACAAAAAATACGGTCCACTTGTACGCATTTCCCCAACCGAAGTCGTGTCCTGTGACCCAGCCGCCATTCCCCTCGTCTATCCCACCCAAAACGCTCTGCCAAAAAGCGAATGGTATGCCATTACAGTCCCTGTTTCTGCGATAGTTTGTTGACAAGATGCGTCCCTTCTAGGTATATTCCGTTTCGTCCCCTCGGTCTCAGCGAGCATGCAGACCTCTTTACCGAAACAGATGAGCAGAAACACAACAAGCACCGCAGAATCGTCCAGCCAGCCTATCAAATGGGCAATGTCTTGAAGAACGAAGCTGCAATTGACCAGGCCACAACGCTCTTGGTCGAAAGACTAAGAGAGCTTATTGCAAAGAAGGAAGATGTCAATTTAGGGCACTGGATCGAACTCTACGCCTATGATGTAATCGGCTCCGTTCTCTTTGGCCGTGCCTATGGCTTTCTGGAGAGCGGCACCAATGTGGGCTCATTTATTGGGTCTGTTGACAGTGCCGTCCCGGTTCTCCAACTCATCGCTGTCACGCCGAGCTACATGCGCGGTATCATTATGCTCATAGCCATGTGCATCCCAGGAATGCTGAAACGACTACAAGCTATTCAAGCCACGACTGAAGAAGCCAAGCGACAAACAGAACTTCGAATGCAACGCTCGGCTGAGGAAAACGGCAACCACCACGACATCATGTCCCAGCTCTTACGTATCGTTCAGGACAAGGGCTTCAAAGAAAACTTCACACACCGGGAGGTCACGCTCGACGCCTGGGTCGGGATAATGGCCGGTTCAGACTCCACAGCCGCCAACATGCGCGCAGTCCTCTATTATCTCATGAAGAACCCCCGCTGCATGTCGGCTGCCGTTCAAGAAATCACACAACAAGAACATCTCCTGAGCAAGCCAATCACATATACAGAATCGACAAATCACTTGCCGTACATGAGTGCCTGTATTAAGGAAGCACAGCGCCTCTACTCAAGTATCGGCATCAGCATGCCTCGCGTTGCGCCTGCTCCAGGCATCGTGCTCTCCAACCACTACATCCCCCAAGGCTACGTTGTCGGCGTCAACCCGCACAACGCACACGTCGATACAAAGCTCTTTGGAGACGATGCAAAGGAATTCCGGCCCGAGCGTTGGCTCGAGAGTCAAGCAAGAAGCTTTGAGATGGAAAAGGGCATGGCGTTTTGGGGTGCGGGCACCAGGACTTGTATTGGGAAGAATGTAAGATGCTTCTGAATCACATGTGTGGTAGTCGCGAATCCTTACTAACGTTTGTGTCAAAATTCCAGGTTGCACTAGCAGAAATTCACAAGCTTCTCCCAGAGCTCCTTCGCCAATTCGACATGCGTATGGCCCATGATGAACCATGGAAGACGCGGAATGCTGGCTTCATAAAGCAGAGTAATGTTATAGTGAAGCTAAAGGAGCGGATTTGAGTATGGAATCTTGTTGCTTGGGCTTGAGTAGTTTTCAATTCGATCATTTACAAGCATGCATAAAGTGTAGCAACGTGAATTATTATGTGCCGCCCATGACATCCACAGATCTGGTAGGTTTATCCGCGGCTCCGCTGCTGCTACCCGCACCGCTGTTCTGCTCCAGGGGCGGAGTGTCACCAAAACAATGCTTCATGAAGGCATCAGGATACCTTCCACCACCGATCTCCGCCTCTTCAGACGCCTTACGGATAGTCTGTTCCTCGTCTTTGCTTAGCTGTACTTTCAAGCTGCCAATATTTTCCGCCAGACGCTCCTGCCTCGTCGTACCGGGGATAGGGAACACATCGTCGCCCTGCGCCATGAGCCACGCGAGCGTCAGCTGCCCGGAGGTAACACCCTTTGCCTTTGCCATATCGGCGATTTTCTCCACAAGCCTGAGGTTCTTTGGGAAATTCTCCTTGCTAAAGCGGGGCGCATAGCGCCTGGAATCGCCCTCTTCAAAGTCGTCTGGGCTCTTGTACGCGCCCGTCAACATGCCGCGGCTCAGCGGCGAGTACGCCACGACTGCGACGCCCAGCTCGCGGCATGTCTTGAGCAGTTCGGTCTGCTTGCTCTCGATTTCAAGTGCAAAGGGCGAATACTCGACTTGCACCGCGGTAATCGGGTGCACCTTGTACGCTCTCCGCAGCGTGTCTGAGCTGACTTCGGAGAGTCCGAGGTACTTGACTTTACCCAAGTTGACCAGGTCGGCCATGGCTTGCACGGTGAGTTCGATTGGAGTTTTTCCGTCTACGCGGTGGCAGTAGTAAAGATCGACATGGTCGATACCCAGGCGCTTGAGCGAGCTTTCAAAAGCCTGCTTGACGTATTCAGGGGACGTATCGATTTCAGCGCCGTAATTCTTGATGGCGAACTTGGTGGCGAGGAAGATGTCGTTGCGCTTGGAGGGGTTGGCTTGGAACCATTTTCCCAGCAAGTCCTCGCTGTCGCCGTACCTAGAGGCCGGGTTACTTAGCATGATTGGTGGAATATCGACAAGGGTGTTGATGGTCAAACATACATGTCGGCAGTGTCCCAAAACCGCTCGCCCTGCTCATGAGCATAGTCGAGCAAAGCTAGACGCTCGGAGTCAGGCTTGGCAGGTCCGTAGGAGATGGAGAGACCCATGAGACCGAGTCCCAGGCGGTTGACTTGGGGGCCGTTGCGACCGAGTGGTGCGGTAGGAAGAGACATGGCAGGTTGTCTGAGGGTTTGCTTGGCAGAGTTGACGTTGAGTGTTGTTGAAGTCTGCTAGTGAATCCAGGTTATTCTGCAGTGTAACACACCAGGTATTTATCTCTTGATGGGACAGCTTTTTCGGTGGTATGATGATTTAGTCTGCTCTTTCTTCCACTGAATCGTAGTGGGACATCCGGACAAAACCGTACGGCTAAATTTTTGCAAAAAGGGGTATTCCTTGTGTGCAAAATCGGAGAAAAGTTAGAGGCGGTTCTGCTAAGGGTGCCTCGACGGATTTAATTCATCTCCCTGCCATGACGCTGGTGTTGCACTTCTTAAGTCCGTTGCCCCGTAACCCCGCTCATAATGAAATCACAGCTGCATAGAGAGTTTTGCAGTACCGTAGTGGATATGCGACAGAGGCTATTGCTGGGATAGCATCGCCTGATTACTCATCAGCCTATCGAGGGGCATTCTGTCGTCTTGCCCTGCTAAGTTTTGCAGCATTATGAATCATTTGCATCGGCTAGAGACTGAATAGAGCGGAGATAGGACTATGTGAGACTGGCTATTATAAGCTCTGAAGAAAGATAAAAGTTTGCAGTTCCCAAGGTAATATTAAGAGTATTTCAACTGTACTACGATGAATTGGTGCGGGTTCAGACAAGTCGCGGTGTACGGTTAGTTTGGGGTTGAGCCTGGGGCTGACGGCCTCTCTTCGGGCGAGCTCGACAAGCGAGTCATCGTCCTCCAGACGTCACCACATCAAACGTACCGCCAGAAGGCGACAATCCGCATTTGTAATGTTGCGCCACATTACAGAGATACCCAGCGTCCATATCGCGCATGTCTTTGCTCATTCACTAACCATTCGTCTCAACCAACACATCACAGCGCATCATGGCTGCCGAAATTCGCGACTTGGAGCCCCTCAATATCCGGCCTGTTCAACACCAAGTACTAGACCCCCTACAAGCCGATCCGTTTGCCTTCGACCACCACGATGATAAGATACATATCCTGCTCTGTGCTTCTGGATCGGTAGCAACTATCAAGATACCAAACATAGTCCAGGCGCTTGCGAAGCATGCCCATGTGCGCATACGCCTAATATTCACGGCTGCAGCCACAAACTTCCTGCAGGGTCAAAGCGGAGAGCAGCCCTCCTTGGAAGAAATAGAAAGGATGCCGAATGTAGATGGCATTTACTTTGACGAGGATGAATGGAGAGAACCATGGGTGCGAGGCAACAAGATTCTACACATTGAACTCCGGCGCTGGGCAGACATGATGGTTATCGCTCCCTTGAGTGCAAATGAACTTGCCAAAATCACACAAGGCTGGTCTGACAACCTACTTCTCTCTGTGGTTCGTGCCTGGGATACGACTGGCTTAATCGACCCTCTAAGAAATATACCAGGCGTGCAGTGGCCGCAAGAGGAGGAAGGCGTGCAGAAGAAAAGGATACTAGTCGCACCAAGCATGAACACTGCTATGTGGTACCAGCCTATTACGAAAAAACAGGTGCATACCTTAGAAGAGGAGTGGGGTGTCAAAAACGGAGGCTGGTTTGAAGTGCTGCAGCCTATGGAGAAAGAGCTAGCTTGTGGCGATATTGGAGGTGGTGCGATGAAAGACTGGCGAGAGATTGTAGGCGTGATTGAGGAAAGGCTAGGCCTTGGTTCCGCATCTTCTAAAACACAACACCAAGGATAGACTATCCTATTGCCTTAAGAACCATCTATCACCCTACTTGCAGCCTTAAGTCACATACGCACTGCATTTGCCTCTATGCTTACTAACTAACACCTATGTAGTTTAGAGGCTAAAAAAAATTCCGGCAACAATAGCTGAATAGTTCAAATGCTGCTACCTGCGCAAAAAAAACAAAGACGAGAACAGGACTGTGATAAGCGCCCCTCCACGCGCCTACGGTGACGGCCTCCTTAGTGAACAGACAATTGGTATACGGGCCCGGTGAATCTGGGTGTCTGTGCCGTCTCCCTCCTACTCGTTTGTAGTTTTTTTCTCTTATTTTTAGAGAAAGGAGCTCGAATACACAGGACGCTATAGAAGCGACCGAGTATCGAACCGGGATTTCAGTCCTAGTCAAGAGCTGAGCGTTCCACGGCTCAGCACCGCCTAGGCCAATCCCCCTGGGTGGTTTGATGGAAATATCACGAAGATTTGAGCCTATATACGCTATATTTGCGGTATCTATAGTATGGGAGATAAGAGAGTGTCGGTGTTGTTTTGGTGTTGAGGTTGTGGGCGTTTGCTGTTGTGGTGAGCGCGGAGGGCCTCACGAGCTGCCTTCACCTCGGTGAAAGGACTGGAATATACATGGAAAAGACACTTTTCATCGACTCAAGGCTAACTAAGCCCTCACCTTTGCGTATTCTCACTCCGCAAAGCACTTGTCTATTATGCCTGTATCCAACAGCGGCATCGATGGCTATTGCTGATGCTGGCGATACAGCGTCAAAGAAGCTTTCACTCGAAATCATGGAGACCTGTTATTTGTTTGACGGGTTTGGGTTTGTATCTTTTCGTGTCACTTTTTCAGCTTATTGAGCGCAGTTCGAGCACCATAGTAGAAAGTTAGGAGTCACATTTGAAGTATTTTGCGAAGTCTGTCAGACAGGGGCACGAAGATCAAAGGCAAAGTCACATACTTGAGCACGCTTTAGGTGCTTGTAGATGATGAGCGTCACTCAAGTAATCGTAGGGCATCTATGTATAGGAGGTGTAGTCGCTTTGTAACACAAAATGACAGACGCCAGCCTAAGAGAAGTGTAGAACAACAATCAAAGGAGTCAATGCAGCACTCGGTCGCGCAAAACCAACCCAGAATAATTTGGTATTACCAGCAGCCGCTACAGTGCAACGATAGAGGACGTCGTGACCAAGGCGCCTATGCGCAGTCAGTAAAGGCTTCGCTAGTGCACCCATGCTACTGGGTTACAGCCTTGCGGCGAGCATTTCAGCTGGTCTCCATATGATGCTCATTGATTGGTACAGCTATGCCGGTGCAGTTGCAACACATACTTATCATGGGGTTGAAACTTTGGATAGTGGCTGCGCCATGGCGCAGCCTAGAACCAACCTAAAGCACCCGAGACTCAGCCTCACATGCAACCGCCAATGACTCTGCATCTCCGCGGTGCGGTAAGGGCTTTCGCAAACAAGAACATATTATTTCAGAAGTTGTCATGTTCGCAGGCACGCTGCTATGTTTCAACATGTTGCTCTTCGATAGTGATTTTTAACTTGTTTAAATGGCGACATGAATCAGCGGGAGTGGCGATACGTGATTGAAACCATTCAAGCGTCCTGACGGCTCGACGAAAGAGAAGGCTGCATGGTGGCGCTCTTGTTCTGGGGTCCAGCCTTGGAAATTAACTTTGCTACAAGCTCTAGGGATACAGGACCTCGAGTATCTGCAGCAGCAGGTCTTGCGCGTGGATCGGTTCCATTGGCCCGAATATATAATCGCTTCTTGTCCATGTCGCCCATGACTCTTTCTTATTTTCAGCTTTTGCACAGCCTATTCCTTTCTCCCAGTTAATGCAGTTTTCTGTGTTTCTGAGTACGTTTCTGGGAAAAGAGTCCTCTGAAATGGCATTGATGCATCAGGCCTGGAAGGAGGTCCGACACGATCTTCGAAACGCACGATGGAATGGGGTTCTTCTAGGGAAAATCCTGATTCCACTTCTAGTTGTGCTCTGGGTGATTGGGCTAATAGCAATACCGATTGTGTTTTTGTACTTCTTCCAGAACATACAGGGAACGCAGCAGGTGTGCACTCCAGGCGGTCAATTCAACCTGAACCCAGAAGATTGGAGTTATTGGAGTCGAACAGGCTTCTTCCAGATTACGCTCTCTTTTGGTGACATGTCATTTGACAAAGCTAAGCTTATCGATGTTATTTGGGATATGGTGAGTGGCACAACGCTTTATAACATATCCACTCGCTGATTCGGGGCAGGTGGTGGGTCGAGGCGGTCAAGTGTTAATTGCCTTGTGCAGTTGGCATGTATTCGGTCTATACGTGACTACGTCAATGGAGACAGCCCCAATAACGTATCATTCGTACCGAGCTGTGTTTCTAGAGACCAGTCCGTCTTTCTGGTCAACTCTGTTTTTAGCCCGGGATTTCATCTGGCTCAAAAGTCTTCACTCCAAGATGGCCATGTTCTTCATGATTTTCACCATGGTTTTTACGCTTTGTTTCCCTACATTTGCAAGCGCAATGACGGGATATACGAGCATCGTCCAAGCATACGTTCTAGATCGTCAAAATGCAAACTGGATCCGCTTCGACACGTTTGCTCAGGTGATTTACGTTGTCGACGATGGCAACAGAATCGGGCAGACCGAGCCCTACTATGTTGTTGATAAGGTTTCGTGGGATAGTGTGCGTGTATAAAGAGACTTATCTTGTGCTCCTTTCTGACTCATCATAGGGACCAACTATATCTGATAGATCTACAGATCTATATTGCAAAATCACAAGAAACAGTCCAGATATCGACTCCTGGAACGAAACTTCCATTCCACAATATTTTACTATCGACATGAACCATGTCAACGACTGCTATGAACAAAATAATATCTCCAAATGTATGTGTACCTCTCTTCTCTCGGAATAAAGGCCTGTAAAAACTCGTCGCTACTTCCTACTAACGCGAACCCAAGATGTTGAGCACTACGGATTCGATGGCATTTCGAAAGAAGCATCGACTTTTATGGGGCGAAAATTGGATCCACCAACTCTGAATATTTCGGCCGCGTATTTTTACGATCCGACCTTGTTTGGCTCGGCTCCAACTTTCGAGAGGCAGGACCAAAAGAAGATGCTTTGGATGTGGGGGAACGATACGTACGACTACGACTATGTGTCTCAGCAGGGAATGTGTCAGTCAAGCGGGGTATGCTCACCTCTCTACAGTACCGTTGTCACTCTTCACTTACTTGGCACCAGAGAAACTACCAATGGGGATTTTCTTTCCTGCTGCTATTCTCGATGATTATGATGCTCCTGTTCTGGACATTTGGTATCGTCATAATGTGGTGTTGCACCCAGATCACCATGCAAAAGCGGGGGCAACACTCTATCGCCGGCACACACAAAGCTGTGATTGAACTTGCTGCAGCCATGTCAACAGAATTCGACATGGACCTTCTCGACTGCAAGTTTCTCTCAGAAAAGGAAATCCAGGAGCGCATCACGGCAGTACAAGGTGGGTGTATTTCGTACAACTCGCCGCTCCTCGTGGAGAAAGAGCTGTCTGAAACGTCGCTTCGGAGATGGCTTTATCTGAACAGATGGTGGTTTCTCGCGACCTGTGCGCTTGTAATCACTACGGGCTTGATGCCACTGTCAGACCTCTTGTTTTGCTTCTGGATGGTTGGACCGACGCTTGGAATGATAATAGCACTTTCCATTGGCACGACACCGAAGAGTAGGAGTGTTTTTGTTCTGGTGTTTACGATCTTGTCGTCAGTGCCTGTCGTTTATATTGCGATAGTGGTGCACCAAGGTCGATGTCTGAGGCCCTTTGGTGGCTACTCTTCGACAAATGCATTTCTCTTCTATGGTGTATATGGTGCATGTAAATACTGGTAGACAAACACGCGCTCAGTCAGTGCAGATATTTGGTTGTATGAGTGATTTCAAGTGCAGGTTCAAAGATCTCAAAACACGGTGGATTTTACAACGCCGTGAATATTGTAACGCACTGGACTTTACAAGGCAGTGGTCTTCATAACGTAAAAGATATAATGTCATAGTGAGGTACTATATCTGGCACCTTACCAATCATAAGTGGGTATTGTTATATATATCGGTAGTATTTGTGAAGGGAGATTAGCTTTAGCAAGCATGAGAGCTCATCTAGAAGATGGGAGATTGCCTTGGTGGCCATCGACTGCAGGCGGTGGCATACAACTGCCAAAATGGGGGCCAAAACATGGTATCCGCCCCCAATGTCAAACACTAGCCTCGATGCAACATGGGCAAGGCTGCATGCTGCTGTTTACTTATCCAATATATTTTTGGACGCGTTCCGATGGTCACATGCTCGCGAGCTGAACCTGTCGTCTTGGCATGACGCCAGCAGTCCCGTCTTCGCGTGCCTATTGCGGTATCACGCGGGAGCTTAGCAGTTTGCCAATGACAACGCATTCACACCCTCTACCCTTTGCGCAGCCGCTGTTGACTATTCGTCCTCAACACGGCATAGTCAGGCCTGACCGGTCAGCGCATCGTTCCTAGCCTCGTCGCATTGCTCGCCTAATCATGCACATGCCGCCTTTCCGCGCCCAAGATTCGTCCGCGCCTCAGACTCGACCCGGATACGGCTGTGCCTTGCTTGGCATCCGAACAAGCCCTGCGTGCTGGAACCCGGCGTATGGGGAAATGCTTGTGCTTGTGCAGTCGACGCCGTCATGCAGCCACGTATCTGAGCCACGACGCCAAGGATGCGCGCAGGTAACATGGCTCGCGCCGCTCAGTGGGACAAGAGATGGAGGCACGGCGGTGACTGGATGGGGCGTTATTTGCAGCCAAGCGAAAGTGGCTGGTAGGTGGAGATGGCTGAAGATGAACAGCAGGCTAGCCCGCGAACAGACTGGGATCCCTCCTCTCCACGCCTCTTGGTGCAAGAACAGCGACAATGGGCGGGCGCTCCAGCCCATCCCCAGCTGCCTAATAAAGCAATAATGGAAAAGCACTTTAGGCGCGCCTTCGTTTGTTTTCGTTTGCGGTTAGGCGTCATCCTGCAGCCTTTGGGATTAGACTCCCATGACTCCTGACGTCCTCACAGCCTCAGCGCCTCATGCCTTTATAGAGAGCCCTTTTTTCGCTCCTCGGCCATGATCGGTATTCTTTTTGTTTTGTTCTTTGGCTGCCACTGCGCCGTTCCCCTGTTTCCCCACGGGACATCGACCTCAACATCCATACCGCCATGGCGCTCAGGAGCATCGTGCTCGTCGCCTCTGCAGCGTTGGCTGCAGCCCAGTCTTCTTCTTCCGAGCCTTGCGCAATCGTTGCCGCCCAGCTTGAGGAATCCGCCGCCCAGCTTGAGGGGCCCACTACTGTCAATGCACTAGCCGCCTACGAGTGTCTCGAGTCTGTGCCCGTTGACGTTCAGGGCAACGGCCAACTCATCGACGAACTAAAGAAGATCTGGCAGTTCCAGTCGGAGCTCCAATGGCTCAAGAACCCCGGTAAGCACTGGGAGTTTGGGCCATTGGATATCGAGGCCGAACTGGACAACGTTAAAAAGAACCTCGCCTCCTATTCTTCAGAGTATGCTGCTCAACTCGCCATCCAAAACATCACCATTCGGACGGGCAACTTCCATTTCAACTACGTGCCCGATATACTACAGGTGTTCCAATTCGGCCGCTTGTTCAATGTGGCATCAATCTCCCAGAACGGCACAGCACTCCCCAAACTGTACGTTGCCGACGACGTCTCTGGGCTGGCCGAAGGCAACTCGGAAATCTCTGAGATTGCCAAGATCAACGGCCAAGACCCTTATGACTTCCTCCTGTCTGTGTCATGGGGGCAGTACATTGACTCAGACGGCCTGTTAAACAACATGTTGGCCAAGGGAGACACGGACAACGTTGGTGCTTTCATGATTCAGGGTAAATATGATGGCAACAGCACAGATGTTACTTGGGCGAATGGGTCAGCGGCTTCTGTTCCCAACGTTGCTCGTACAAAGCTCTCTTTCTCTGGCATCACGGATGGAAAATCCTTCTTCAACGCATTCTGCACAGGTCGCGTGAGTGGCGCTTCCGCGGTCACCAAGGCCGGTCCAGTTTCACTCGACACAGCTCGCCCGAATTCTAATCCATCTGGGCTCGCGAGCATCAGCCATATTATCTCTCCCAGCGCCCCAGGCCCTGTTCCCCGTATCCCTACCGACACTTACCACCGCCGCAGCAAGCGTCAGGATTTCGAACACTATGATGTAGTTGCTGTCGACAAAGCTTCCAGCGGAGTCGTGGCAGGGTACTTTCTCAGCGGAAGTGGCTACGATGATATCGCCGTTCTCAAGATCATCTCGTTTAGTAACCCTAGCCAAAGTATGTCGGAAGAAGATTTCAACAACGATTTCCAAGCCACCGTCAAATCATTCCTCGCCCAATGCGTGGACAAGAAGAAGCAGAAGCTTATCATTGACTTGCGCGAAAACGGCGGTGGTAACACCAATCTGCTCTTGGACGCCTTTATGCAGCTCTTCCCTGAAATGGAGCCCTTTTCTGGCCAGAGATACCGGGCCACTGATGCCTTCCTCAAGATCGGCGACGCTGTTAATGAGATCAGGGGTAATGCGGCCAAGGAGAGCAAGTACCAGAGTTTTATGGAAGAAGATTTTGAGGAAAACTTCACATTTAGGTACTGGTCGTGGTGGCACTTCCTCAACAGTGAGGGCGCGGATTTCAAGGGGTGGGATGACTTTAACGGGCCGGTGGACCTGAATGGCGACAGCTACACTGCTACCATGAGATACAACGTAAGTCGAGATGCTTCCCCCGTCGCCCTGTTTTCTTACTAGTCCATACTAACAAAAAGTAGTACTCAGACCAAGTCTCTATTCTGCCAGATGGCTTCAGATTTGTAAATGGCACGCGACCAACGCCCTTCAACGCATCCAACATTGTCATGTTCACCGACGCCCTCTGTGGTTCCTCGTGCGCCTCTTTCCATGAGGAGCTCAAGAACATTGCAGGCGTCAAGGCCGTCACGGTCGGTGGCCGCCCCCAAAACAAGCCCATCCAGACCGTCACCGGCAGCAAGGGTGGCGAAGTCACTCCTCTGCACTACTGGAGCCTCTTTTCCCAGGCGGCGCTTAACCTGAGCAGCGTGGCCGGTCTATCTGCCTTTTCCGCCTCAGACCCCGTGCTCCAGGGCGTCGCCAACGTCCCGCAGATGCTCACGCGCGCAGGCGACGCCGCGTCACGGCTGCAGTCCCAGGACCAGATCCGCAAGGGCGACGCCTCTGGCACTCCGCTGCAGTACGTCTACGAAGCCAGCGACTGCAGGATTTTCTACACGGCAGAGACATGGGCGGATCCTGTTGCGGCGTGGAAACAGGCCTGGAATGCCTTCCAGGACCAGGGTAAGTGTGTCGAGGGCAGCACGGGACACAAGAGTTCGCTGTCGGGTGGATACAAGGCGTATGGACCGGGCGAGCTCAAGGCCGAGGACCAGCCAAAGGGAAGTGGAGGAGGTGGTGGTGGAAATGGTGGCGGTAAAGGCGACGACAGCAAGTCTGGTGCGGCGAAGAGTCTGAGCATTAGCAGCGCGGCACTCAGCATTGCTGCTGTTCTTGCCGCCAGCATGATGCTGTAAATGGCGTGAGAATCACTTTGGCTGTTTAGAGTCTTACTCACGACGAGCAACGCTACTGTTTGCTTCTTTTTTTTCTACTTCTAGTATTATTATTATTTTCCCTCGGTGTATTACAAGAGTACCGATACCACCCTGTTATGCATTCTACGGCGTTTACGTCCAAAAAAAATGAGTGTTCATTCATGCTTGTTCACCTGTCCATCGTGAGGCATGATGAAGACAAGAAGATCAAGAACAAGTCTACTACTAGTCTGGGTACTATCCAACTTACAAAACTCATCGTGGTATCCAAAAACAAGAAGAAAAAAGAACAACTACATATCGCATTTCCCTTCGTCACCGCCCATACTCATCATACCATTAAACCCAAGACTAAACGAAGCAGTCCATCCAATTCAAAGACCCCCCGTAACACATCCAAATCACAAGCACAAGACCTCCTTCAACTACCGCACTGCACTGCACTGCCCTTCAACTGGTACCATTTCTAATTCGGCCTGAGGACCACATCCCCCACGCAAAGCACCACGTTTTTGAAGAACCGCCGCCACTCCAGGGGGTCGCCACTGGCCTTGACGAACCTCACCTCCCAGTAGCCCGCGCCCTCGTAAACCGCCTTCTCAACCACGACATGGCCATTGAGACCCTGGCGGCGCCCATCTGCCATTTTGACGCGGATGCTCGCACTGCCGTGTTGCTCTGCGTCTTCGATTTGGGTGGCGGAGAAGGAAGGGGCCGGGACGCCGAGACGGTTCAAGGCCGCGAGAAGCATGGGGAGGAGAAGCGAGAGTGGGTGAGGCGATATGAAGCGCGCCATCGAGTACGAAGGAAGTATGTCTGCGAATTTGCGGGCGGCTTGGGTAAAGGTCAGCGGCACGCCTGGTTGCGAGCTGAATTGCGTCATGCTGGGGTCTTGAGACAGTGCGTCCTGTGTTGACGATGGGAGTTGCGACAGGACTGGTGTGGAGCCGATATGTGTGTGGTAGCTGGCCGCGTAGGCTGTCGTGGTTGGCTGGGAAGCGGATAAGCCGTCGTGAGAGGCGAGGCGTGGAGGGCGTTCCCAGTCGAAAGGCGTGTCTCCGGAGGGTGTTTCGGGCTGCGTAGAGGAGAGTAGGTGGATAGCGCTGGAGCGGCGGGGGTCGTCGTCTGTGTCAATGTCCATTGGATCACCATCTTCCTGTGAGAACCCGCGTTGGGATTGGGTCGGCAGTCGAGTGAAATCAATGCGTAGGTGAGATAGCATTTGTGCCGCCAGACCAACTGGATTCGAGTTTCTTCCTGAAGGCGCCAAGTACGGGTTCTTGCGCGTGAACCAAGGATGTGTGCGCACTTCATCCAGGGTAAAGCGCTGTTGTGGATCCACCTTGAGCATCCCTCGAAGCAAGCTGACAATATCAGCTGGCAGCTTAGCCCAAAGTTCGTCGGTTGTATGTCCCCCCGTTTCGAGGTATTCCTTGAACTCCTCGGATCGCTTCGTGGGCTCATCCCATGGTGTGTTTCCAACGAGCAGGACAAACAAGACCACGCCGCAACTCCAGATGTCGCAAATATTGGCCGCGTACCCGACATCCAGCACGTCCGCCCTCTTGCTTCGTCTCCCACTGACGATTTCTGGTGCAATGTAGGGCGGAGAACCGCACACAGTGTTGCATAGCCTCAATTGCCCGTCCTTCTTGAACAAGGCCGCAAGTCCAAAGTCGCTCAGCTTCAAGTCTCCCTCTGCACTCAGCAGCACGTTCTCGGGTTTAATATCCCGGTGTGCGACGCCCATGCTGTGCATGTATCCAACCGCATTGACAAGCTGGGTAAAGTACAAGTGCGCAATGTCCTGGCCGACACCCTCATCCGCCTCAATCTTATCAAACAAGTCGCCTCCCTCGGCCAGTTCCATGGCGATCCACGTCCACAGAGCATCCTCACCAGATCCTAGGCAATGGATGATATTGTGGTGTTTTCCAAGATGCTGATGCAATACGATTTCCATTTTGATTTGCTTGGGGGTAAGGCGGCCGGTGCGGAGTGCATGTTCCTTGTTGATGAACTTGATGGCAATGACTGGTTTCGGGGCATTGAGGGGAATAGCTTTGCGGATGCTGTTGCGAAATTAGCGGCAGGAATTGACTGCACATCAGAAAGGACTGACGAAGCATATGCGCCTTGCCCGATGGTCTTGCTGACGAGTCGAAAGGGCAGGTTTGTGGGTAGAGGGGCTACCTGGCTCCCAGGCGGGGCGGGGCCCATGGTAGCAGAAGCGTCACGTGTGCAAGTGGAAGCGAATTCGGCGAGAATGGCGACAATGTAGAAAAACTATTGCGTGATGGGAGGATATCTGGTGCTATGTGGCGTTGCGGAAGAAGAAAAAAAACAGTTGGTTGACAGTGCCGTCATGGCCCAACAGGCTCCAACATCGCGTCACACGCGCAAAACACAACGCACAGACAGACGACCACGCGACGCGCGCCGACGCCTGCTCACGTGGCCTGGCAGCTTGGCACTGTGCCTCTCCCAACGGCCTCCGCCTTACTACAGTATTAGTCGCTTCCCGTGCCACAACCTTCTTCTGGAACACAGCTCGCTTCACCTGCCGACGGGAACATACATGACATCACAGGCGCGAGGCAAATGCAAAGGGCCCCCAGCTAACGTAAGCCGCAAGCCACCACTCTCCCACGAGCCGTGTGTAGGTATATACTGACATGGGATTTGAGGTACGTACGTATCTCGGAAGGGCAAAAAGACGAGGCCAGTGGGTCTCGTGTGAGTACTCGGTTCCAGGGAAGAGTTCCTGGCGATCCCCTGCATGTACGTTTTGCAGTAGCAGCACGCTGGCTCCAAGCCACTCACCGGAGATGGGCCTTGGAATGGACATGATGTGTCCGAGCCGGTTACAAGCAGGATTGCCACGCGAGGGGGGTGCCGAGGTGGTGTGGCCAACCAGTCGATCAACTAAACGGCTTTAGTAAGAAATAGGCATGCCGGACAAGACGCAGACACTAGGTGTACAGTAGAATGTCGAACCCGGGCTCCGCTGTGCTAAGTTGCCTCTCCCCCCCTTCCGAAGCCTCTCATTTGGCTCCCGCCCCAGTCATTCTATTATTTCCGCGACCTGCTTACTGAAACTAGCAACTGTCGTTGTTTCGGAACGATGCTCCCGTCCTCCCACTCTCTTCACATTGCATGAACAACACGGACGTTGGACGACTTCAGCTCGGCTAAAGCTCCGCGTCTTGTCGACCCTCAGACCATAACTAACTTTTCATGTCATGCCCGCTTCTCTCGCACGAGGTCCCTTTTTTTGAAACCTTGCCTCGTGTCCTCGGGATGATAATGCCATGATACACAACATGGGCCATGGAGTGGCATCTCAACCCTGATGGTTGTGTGTCGGTTTGTATTAAGACCTTTTCCTATTTGGTTGTTCGTTTCGTGTCTGTCTCTCATCACACGACACCACATATCCACAACCAGGCAGCCCCTTGTATCTTTCCCACACGGCATTGCCGAGAGGGTCAAGTTAAAAAAAGGCTCATGCAAGCGCGCACGCCAATACTGCCCCATCCGTGTGCTACCAGACTCCACTTGGAGAAAACCTAAATCCCAACGGCCCAAGAGAGAGCGAGAAAAAAAGGTGCGGATCCTAGTTGTTCTGTAAAAGAGAGATATGTGTATGTACACCTACGTAGGTACCATGGGACGTATGCCGGTTCGAGACCAGCCAGACTAGCCTCGATCACATAATCAACAAGCATCATCGTACGACACATACCGACATGGCAGCGCCAGATTGTCATGGGGGGGGGCAAAGATTGGGGATTTGAGTTTAGGTAGTTTGGAAATAACTGGGTCTTGCGGAACGGGGATCAACAAGGCGAGATCGAAGCTGAAGGGGAAGGAGCGGCAAGTGGAAGCGTGTGGGTGTGCAGGAGAGGGCAAAGGGGAGCGAACAGCGGAGAAAAATGGTTGGTTGATGCTGGTGCTGCTGCCCCGAGCACAACTGCAGCAAGTAAGGGAAAATGCAGATCTGAACAACGCCAGTCAGCCCGCCCCCGTCCGCCCACCCGCCACAAGCAACGCAGATTGGGAGACGCAGCGTGTCATGTGTCATCAAGGTGGACACGCACATACATATGCATGGGGTCCTTGTGCCGGCAATCACACCGCAAGAAGGGAGAGAGAGAGAGAGAGAGACAAAGAGAGAAACAAACATCGTCTGTATAGGCGTACGTAGGCATAGATGTAACTTGGGCGAAGAAACCACCAAAAAAAGGAACACGGCTTAAACCCATGAACCTTGTGCATCACGACCGACCATCGTCGGACGCCCGCCCCCCCCCCCCAAACACGCAACCCGCAATATCGATTTTCTGCTCACACCCCTTCGGACATGATTACCAGAAACCTGCTTTCTCTTACGCCTCGACATTGAATTTTTTTTGTTGCCCGCCCGACCCCGGTTTCTCTGACAAGACACACCACTAACCAAGTATACAC